CGTATATACTCGCCTATAAGTCGGTTTTTTGGGAGTTAACTTTTGTCCAAAACTCTTTATCCGACTTATATGCGAGTTATAAAAAGATTGGTATTTTAACGGGTCAATCCCTCTAATTTAAGCTTAAAAAATACAACCGACTTATAGGCGGACCGACTCATAGGCGAGTATATACATGTACGGTACTTCACATATTGATCCTTGTGACAAGACCTTCCTTTGGATACCAACAACTTTGACCTTTTGACCTTGACCTAGGAGTTTGACTTACTTTTCAAAAACTTTAACCTTTACCATAATTTTTGAACGGTTGGTGCTATAGCTTTCATATTTCACAAATGTAATCCTTGTGGCAAGATCTTCCTTTGGATACCAACAACTTTGAGACCTAGGAGTTTGACCTATTTTTGAAAAACTTCAACCTTGGCCATAATTTTTGAACGGTTGGTGCTAGGGCTTTTATGCTACAAATTGATAAAGGAGTAGATATTAATACTTTTAACAACTGGAAGACGGTTGATTAGCATGAACTTAACTAGGCAGGCATTATGCGGAAAAAAGGTTTTCTTTTCAAAAAATTGATCTGCTCTGATCATTTCAGCAATCTTCGGGATCAAACTCCTCTTATGTTGAAGAAAGGATTATGATCCATTGCTATCTTCTACTTTAGATTAAAAGGTTAAGTCATAAGCAAGTACCTCGCAATTATGCTCATTAATTCTCTGGCGTTGTTAACGGTAATTTTCTATTTCAGAACAAGATGTCTTTGTGAAAAATTGATGCCCCCGTATGGAGCTCAGATCAAGACCAAGAATAAAGTTTTTCCAATATAGGTCAAACTCCAAGGTCAAAAGTTAAAAAAAAATTGGTACTCAAAGAAAGATCTTGTCACAAGAAAGCCCTAGCACCAACCATTCAGAAAATATGGCCAAGGTTAAAGTTTTGTACAGTAGGTCATACTCCAAGGTCAAGGTCATGAAGTAAGAAAATGATACAAAAAAGGTCTTATCACAAGGAATACATAAGTCAAATATGAAAGCCTTAGAACCAACCATTCAAAAATTATATACAAGATTAAAGTTCTTTTTTTTTTTAATTTAGGTCAAACTCAAGGTCAAGGTCAGGAGATCGAAAATGTTGGAACCAAAAGAAAGTTTTTTCACAAGGAATACACATGTGATATATGAAAGCTCTAGCACCCACCTTTCCAAAGGTATGGTCAAGGTTAAAGATATTCAAAAGTAGGACAAACTCAAAGGTCAAAGTCAAAAGCGTTGATATCCAAGGAAAGGTCTGATCACATGGAATAAACATGTGAAGTATAAATCCCTAACATCAACCGTTAATGAGTTATGCCCAAAGTTAAATTTAGGTAAAACTGTATAACGGGTATTTTTCGCGATGAATAAATTTTCGCTTTCTTTGCGAGCATTTTTAGATTGCAAAAAAATATATTCGCATAAAATTGTCACCAGTTGTTTACTATATAGATTACACAGATAAGTCGTATAAACCAACGGGAGAATCGCAAAACAGGACTTCGCAATTTGAAAATAGCAGTACTTTGAAACATTTTCGCAAAAAGTTTGACATGCAGAAAAACAAACTTTATACCGAATTTTGAATTAGTAGATCAAACTCCAAGGTCAAGGTAACGACGTAAAATATTTTGGTACCCAAAGAAAGGTCTTGTCACAAGGAATACATCTGAAATTTGAAAACCCTAGCACCGATCATTGAAAAGTATGTTCAAGGTTAAAGACAGACAAATAGACAAACAGATTTTCAGAGAAACAGACAAACAGACCAAAAACTACATGCCCCTTAATTTTCGATTCGGGGGCATCAAAATAGTTAATTTAGTTGAACAACTAAAATAAACTGCATATTTCTCAGCAATACCTTCATCTTATATTTAGAAAATGCCATATAATGGTAAAAAAACACTGTGATTTAAAAAATGCAAGAAAAATCATCAGACAGACTGTTTTAATGTGAAAAATCCATTAATAAAAAAATTAAAGTACATGCATAATAACTCAACTTCCTTTCGTTGATATTGCTGTTGTTTGTATTACAGTCAGATATTTCCTTGTGATAAAACAAATGATATAGGAAAATACGTGTTATGTATACTTGCATTTTACATAAATAACACATACAATCTCAACCCATCCTTCCTTTTCAGAGAAAACTTCTCTATATTTGTAAATGTTACATCTTTCAATCTTGCTAATTGTACATACTTTCATTAATCATCAGCAATTGCAAGTTTACATGTACAAAATTCATAAACTTCAATTTAAAAATATTTTTATCATAATTTCCCCCCAGATTTGCTACAATGTACGTTTCTATACTTGGTATGTTTTTTCGATTTATAATTGTCATGCATTCGCAATAAACTTGTAAATTGAAATTTTGAGAATCCACATTTATTGAAATGATCTGATACTTTTCAAAAGGATATAATTTTACAGTATATTTATTCAGTAACATCATACCAATCTTTAAAAATTAAAAAGTTGAAGACATAATCCCTAATCAATTTTGTACAAGCAGATTCTGGAGTCACTTAATCATGTTAATTCTACCCCTACTGCAACGATTTACAATCTGTGCTCCATAATATGTTTTATGATTAACTTTAGTTTTTAACAAAATTTTCTTAATTATCTTAATCACTGGCGGATTTAGAGGGGGTCAGGCCCCCCTTTTGTGTCCAAAATATACGTAAGATTTACTAAATCAATTTTTTTTGGTGTGGCCGTGGGCCTTACCCCGACCCCAAACTGGTCGGGCCCCCCTTTTCAAGATTCCTGGATCCGTTACTGTTAATAAATGTAATATCTGGTCTATATATATAAAGTATAAGGGAAAGGCAATTTCATTACCGTTCCATTACTAAAATCCTGCCTTATTCACCAATTTAATGTATTAGCGTGAAATTAACCTGTAAGTGAATGCGATATAACAATGTACATGTACATGTATTGAAAAGAATCCATCTGCATTTTACACATTGTTGACATTTAATAATTAAAATGTGTAGGTATCTGAATTATTAATAAGACATTTTAACTTTGACAATATTGTATTCATATGTACAAAAGGCGAAATTAAACCTACAAACACCCCACTCCCTCATGAATGCCTGAATACTTCGTTTTTAATCCTGAAATACTTTTGTGTTTCACGGACATCTGCATCGCAATTCGTTGAAAAAATATTTTTAATTTCCTGATGTATTTCCTGTATGGTATAGTTTATAATAATCAGTTCAAATAATAAAAATAGCATGGAAAGGCATACTTCATTTTGTGAAATCAGGATCATATTTATTAGCAGATAAAGTCTCTCATGCACTTGCTGATTTTCAGAACCTGTGAGATGGACAAAAGCATGCGTTGTGTTTTATCACAATATGTATATCATTTTTTTCAATTAATTCAATACTTGAATTCAACACGAATTCTTAAGAGCATTATAGTCTAGACATCTGTTTTCATTATTATAATTACACTCTATGATTTTTTGGAAATACAGGCAAAAACTTGACTACAGTCTATAAGACAGGTTTCAGAGAACAAACATTATAGTTTTGCCTTAAAAAATTGTTTTCTATAATTATAAATCTATACTAAAAAAGTATAACATTTCCAGTGTTCTTAATGAGCGGTGTACTAATTACCGCTAATGATAAAACGCCGCCTAATGATAGAAACAGCATTAAGCGTTACATTGCAACGCTTAATGTAATAAAGTTGACACTCTCAACCGCTTAATGATAATAATTCTTTTATTAAGCGGCGATTTAGCATTAGCGGTTGAGAATGTCAACTATTAATGCAATAATTTATGGCATTAAGCGTTGCTATTCCAACGCTTAATGCTATTTCTATCATTAAGCGGCGTTTATCATGCAGAGCGATCAAAAAAAAAAGCGATGTTGGACCGCTGAGTGAGATATTGGACCGCTATGACGTTTTGTTTACATTACACTGTAGGCGGGATCAGTTGTTTCTTATCAATAATCGCAAACATGGAAGCCAGCACAAGATATGTCAAAATAAAACGTAAACGGTAAAACAAAACATTTAATGACTGTATTCTCGGATTGAATGCGATTTGTTGCCTAACGGCCTCAGACAAACAGTTTGGTTCTTGGGTCCAACAAAACGCATTTTACTCTCGAACCCAGTCAATAAATGTAAAATGTTAACCTAAATTGATTAAAGACTTGATATTTGATCATATAGAGCATTTTTGATGCTATATGCATGTGAAAGCAATGACAAATCAGCAGATATTATCATTGCTTTAATTTGGGCTTGCCTGGCTATCCTGTATGTCTGCTTGCATTGTTCATCTTTTTTCGATACATGTACCATATCACATATATTTCTGGTCAAATAAAGATATACATAAACTGAAACTTAGTAGCTATTCTGTTTCACACTATGACTAGGGCTATGATATGTAACAACTGATTTCATTTTACGACATTCGAATTTATCTGTATCGTCAGGAAGGAAGCAATGATATCTGATCTTAGAGAGAGAAAAAAAAATTTAAGATTTGAGTAAGGACAAAAAAAATACTGAATTTTAATGATAATCATGCAACGTACTTTTATATTTTAGCAAAAATATTTGAAACTTCATGAAAATATGCAAATGTTATAATAGATGCTTAATTATGAAAAGCAATATTTGAATTCTGATATCCAATGTTTATAAGTTTTTGTATATTGTCCACCTGCTTAAACTTTTATTCTAAAGTATTCAATATGAGGAGCTTTCAACGAAAATATGCAATGAGATATATAAATAAATGCTTATGAAATATGAAAATTGAACTGTGAATTGTCCAAATATTTATGCATACATAGTGTCCACCTGATTAAACAAAGTTATTTATAGTTTGAATTACAATGCCCACTTTCCGCAGCATGTAATGTTGATGATGTGTCATAGAGGGATGTAAAATCAAAGTGCTCTTCCCGGAAAAACAGACCATTGCAATCTACAGAAAGCAAGAGATGACATGACAGACAAAAATGCTAGAATGACTTGTCGACAGCAGCTAAGGCTCAAAGAATTCGGACTTTCGCATCAGCCTCCAGAGGATTTTGTTCGACTAGAGGTGGGAGTTTTTTCTGATATTTCAGGTTTTTCCGTTTAATTCTTCTGTGCAACACAAGGAAATGCTAATATTTATCGTTAATGGATTTTCAAAATGTAAACGTCGTGTATTAAAGCTCGAGTTGATGTTGAAATTTTACTTGACTTGTCCTATCTGTAATTTATTATAACTATACATGTATAACTATTATGTATCTATAAATTTACTGAGTATACACATAAAAATAAAAACTTCTTTTTAGTCTGAAAGGTTATAAAACTGAAATATTAAACAATTATCATTTTAGAAATCTGAATGAATATATATTCATTTTAACAAATACCAAGTATTTCTTTATTGTAAACCTAGCTTATAGCTATTAATGCCCGGAACATCATTGGAAAAAAGTTTCAAATATCTGATAATTAAATATTTGAATACTCTCCATCTTATCATATCTAAACTAATTACGCTGAACAAATAAATCTAAACTTCAAACAATTAACAATCGTGAACACATTGCCTCGTATCAGTGACCTATTATCTGAAACTCATCTGGATTGTTTCAAAAGAATCTCATTTTGAACTCTCGATCAAGTCTCGTGTTGTTTAGGTTAGAAAAGAGCATACTGTTCGAGGCTCTACTCCATCGTAACTACTTAGACGTGTAACTGACATCACCTTTCCCGTGCACATATTGTATATAAGTATTAAATAAGTAGTTTCCTGTTGCAGTTGGTCATCGGAATCGATACTCTCTATCCCGGAAGTCCCGCTGTGTTTAGTAGGGACTGTTAAGTCATTAATCTCTCAAAGTCCGAAAGTGGGCACTTAATTCAGCGCCCTCTACTAGATAATTTGAACCATGACATGACATTAACGATATATTGTGAGAATATGTTATATTGATATATCACTGCATAAAATATTTTTAGGCAGATAATTTTATAGATTATACATGTTAAAGGCAGATGAATAATTTTTATACGATTTACTTTTATTTCACAATTTTCCTCTTCAAAATAAATGAAAGACTAAATCAAGCATACAAGGTATAAAGACGAGAACAGAAAAGTAAAGACATTTAAGCCTCAAAATGTTCTTAACTCCCGATACATCCGTAGAACTAATGGTCTATTAAATATATATGTCAAGTTATGAAAATATGAATAAGCACATTTTTATCAAATAATGCAAATATACCTGAATGTAGGAATTGACAATTTACCCATGTCTGGACGTAAAACCCTTTATTTTATATTCAGCCGATATATGGCCGAAATATTGCCGACTTGGCGTTAAACAAAAGTCAATCAATCTTTTTTTGAATAAAACGCTGTGGTTGTATACTACCACACGTACAAAGCTAACGAATAAACCTGACGTAATCAAACAATTAACTTTATAATATTACTTTTTTAACAGTAAAATGCTTTCTTTGTTTCTTAATGCAGGAATTACGGTTGCAACTATCGCAGAAAAATACATAATATGCATAAGCGGGTTATGTAACTTTTTTCTGTGAAGAAAGATTTTATTGTTTATTTTTATGTCTGTTTAAATAATTTTATAAAATAGGTTTAAGTACGGCAAATATTGTATTATTGTTCTGTACGTCATGGTATGTTTCAATGATGGAAGAGCACAGTACCTTAGAAAGCTTTCATGAAGAAATCTTTGAAAAACCGGTTCTAACTAAGAATTAATTAATGGATTTATTACCCTATTAAAAGAGAAGTGGTTTTTATAAGAAATAAAGTAGAAAATATTCAGTGGATGTAAATACATGTGTATATTTACATCCAATATCCTTTATTTTTCTTAAGAAAAGTCATTGCCGTTATCAATCCGTTAACAATAAACTAGTTAGAACCGGTTTTTAAAGCAATCTGTTTGAAGGATTTCTGCAGAAATGGGCCTTGCCCTTTCCATCAATGTAATGTATAGACCAATGATACCAGTTTTTACGCCCTTTCGTCCACTTTATACAAATAATTTATATACAACTTGTACAGTTATAAATATAAACAAAAAATGTCTTTATTTAATTTTTGTAATGCAGGTATAATAACAGTTGCAATCACTGCTGAAAAAGTTACATAGGATTATGTATTGTTATTTTCTGCGATGTCGCAACCGTTTTCCCTGCATTATTATATTAATTCTATTGTTTAAACAATGCATTTTATTTACAAATTTTCGAAATCAACAATTTACATGGTATTGTCGTTTATTAATTTTTAATCTTTTTTTATTTTTAAAGTTGAAAATAATTGCATGACAAATCGATGAAATTAATAAACGACAGTATAATTGCCTTTTCAGTTTTGCCCCCCGGTTCTATATTTACCATGGTCCGGGGTCTGGGCCCTGTACCACTTTATCTGGGTGTGTTTGGAAGGATACTGGTGGTCCCTGAAATCCCATTACGTCACACTTGACTGGTTCCGACAACTCAGCAATGTTGGATACACAGTGTTGACAGCTTTCACTCTGATTGATTTCTTCATAGCTTCATATACATACTGTCTTAAGCATCGGATTGCACCAGAAGGTATTTCATAAACTACAAAATACATTTACATGTAATGAAATATATGGAGATAACGAACAGTAATCAAGCTCAAAAGTCCATTAAACAATACAAATTTTGGAGCAGAGCAAACACGGACCTCTAAAACATCAGAGGTGGGATCAGGTGCCATGGAGGAGTAAGCATCCCCTGTCGACCGGTCACACCCGCCGTGTGCTCCTTGTCATGATCAGGAAATAACGGAAAAATCCGTCGACAATTCAGTGTGTAAATAATGGCCTAACAATTAGTATGAAAAACGTCAGTCACATTTGACTTAATGAAAGACTGTATTTGCTGACAAAGTCATGGTATCGACCATAGAACTTACGAAATGATGACTTTAAACGAGACTGTTGATATTCTTGTTTCATCAACTTGTTTGTCAATAACTTACCTCGTTTAAGAAATTGTTCATACGTAGAGCATGCTCTTGCGTATCGAATCAACTGAGAGATCGTACAAATATTTTTGAAAATGTTTAAGTACTTTTTGTAGCATCTGCTATTATATTCAAATAAATGGAGAGACAGAATCCTTTTGGGCTATATATGATTATGTTGAGAAAAGATATTCATATGCTCGATGCATAGCTTCATTCTAAGATTCCCATTATATTATCTTATTTTGTTTGCTTTTGTTTTGTTTTTTTTTTGTTTTTTTTAATAAGGAAAAATTCTGAGTCCTTTCAAAAACAAGTATTCTCAGCATGCGCGGATCTAAAGGGGGGGGGGGTCGGGGGGTTATAAAAAGTTATTAAAAGTATATACTGAAGCAGATAAAAACGACTTTGGACCCCCCCCCCCCCCCCCGAAAACGTGGCCCCCACCATCACTACCACGAAATAGGTATTTTTAACATTTGGGACATGGAGTTAAAGTTTTTTTTATTATTTTGTTGTTGTTGTTGTTGTTGTTTTTTTTTTTTTTTTTTTTTTTTTTTTTTTGGCTTGTCAAGGAATTTTTTGTTTGGATTTTTTTTGAGTGGGATGCCCCCCCCCCCCCGGAAAAATTCCTGGATCAGCGCATGCTCAGAACTTCTGTCTACAGTATGATCTGGTTCTATCAACCCCCAGAGAAAGTAATAAATTATTCAATTCATATTACATATTTATATACATGTAGTACTTTAAGATATAAAATGTATGTATGTGCACAAACTAAAATGAGATTTGCCGATATCAACTACAGTCACTTTGAAACTGTTTATATGCACTATGATTAGTTCTTAAAGTTATACCATCGCTTGAAATATTAAGTTTACCTGTTTTTTGTCTTTAACTGGATAATATTCAATTTCCTGTTGAAATACTAGAAGAAAATATTTGAGTTTAAATATAACAATAATATATGTTTACATTAACATAATATTTTTCTCAGATGCTGAGTCAGATTCCATGCGGTGGTACCATAAACTGTCCTGGGTGTTGTACAATATATCTAATGTTACTGCTGTCATGGTAACCATAACATACTGGGCACTTCTTTCCAAAGGTATTTACACATCAGAATATGTTAAGGGGCAAATAAAATATCGCTTTAAGGATGTACGTTTCCCTCAGTAAGGAACTATAACTCTTGAAATAACCAACTTGATGACTGAGGCTTAAAATATAACTTCGAATTAAATTCGAATGTCTGTAAGATTTGAGCTATTTTTGAAAACCTTTAGAAGAGAAGTGATTAAAATGTATTGTTATACCTTTAAAAATTTGTTCCTATGTAAATCAATACTAATAAAGGTCTAACATTTCCAATGTTTTACTGAGTGGGCATAAAAAAAATCGGTGTTTGACCGCGGAGTAAGCTAGGTGTGTTCCCCGAACGGCTACTCGCAAAAAACAACAAGTAATTATCACACTCAATTAAGAGGCCCTCGAAGGGGTACTGGTAGATTTACCTGTATTTACCTGGATAACCAATAATTGATAAATCAAATAAAAATATGAAATTTCATTTTTTTTCATTAAAAAATATTTTTAAAAACCCCAATATTTAATAAATAAATTTAAACGAACAAATTTCAAAATATTATTAAAACATATTTTATACATTGCTTTGTATTATTGCACTTTTAATATTATTGTACCTTTATTGATATTTTTTCAAACTGTTAAATACAATTGATGGGGAATTTTTTGAACTTGAATTGGGGGTCCAACTTTTTCTCAACTTTTTTTTTAAATACATTTCCTAATCTCCATGACTTAACTGCCACAAGAAAAAAGTGTGTGGGGTAGGGCAGCCTTTCAGTAAACATTTTCAATATTAATCTTGTTTATGTTCGTTGGTGTTCGACATACATGTATGTCAAAAAAAAAATAAAATAAATAAATAAAAGGTATTACAAAACATTTATTGACTGTGTTCTCGGGCAAAATGCGTTTTGTCGACCCCTCGAACCAAACTGTTTGTGTTTGGTTCTAGGGTCCGACAAAACGCATGTTGCCCGAGAACCCAGTCAATAAATGTATAGTATTTGCTCCTCGGGTAAAAAACAAACACAGGGTTTTACAAGACATTATATCTTGTTTACTTAAGTATTTGCATAACAATTATATGTGAGTTAAACACATTAACATTATAATGAAAAGCAAAATATGTTCGATGCTTTTACACCCCCTTGTTAAAAAATTTAGATTTTCTCAAGGAATTAAACATTTAAATATTTTACGAAAATCTAAAACTTTTTCAAAACTTTTGTCTATCGAAATATTTGTTGACCAGTTTTGTTTTTTTTAAATATTTCATTCATTGTAACATAAATTTGGATTGAATAACAGGCATGAATGTCTAGTATATTCGCTCTCTCCGCAGAATATGGTACATATACATATATTAAATCATACATTTAACAATTTGACTTACGAAACAATTTTATCCTCTTAGTCTTGTACATGTATTTATTAAATTTCATTTTCCAGCTGGATCAATAAAAGGCAGCACTATCAACAAACATGGAATAAATTTTCTCTATACAATCATAATTATCATCGTGTCTAAAAAACCAATCAAACTACAGCACGTCTACATGCCAATGTTGTTCAGTCTGTGTTACATGATATTCACAGCCATCTACTTTGCTGCCACAGGGACCAAAGTATATCCAATATTAGACTGGAATAAGCCAGGGACGGCCATTATGTGGGTTGTTTTATATTTATTTATCTGCATACCAATTGCATATGTTTTGTTGTTTGGATTATACAGGTTAAAGTTATATGTTAAAGGAAGACTTGTAAATTCACACGACCAATTGCCTAAGGAGAATGACGCCACACCTAATCAAAGTGATCTTTCCGGAAGGAGTGAGGAAGCCTCAACGGCTCAATTATTACCTGTTCCCAAAGGAAGTGTAGAAAACAATAATCTCGAAAACGTGCAATTTTAATTAAGACTGGTTAAAGTTTCATTTTACATGATTGTACTATAAATTTACTTATTTTCGTGGGTCCAATTTAGTGCTTTGGGGAAAAATATTGATTTGTGGAGATTTGATTTCTTGTAGTTGAAGATATGAACACGATAATGTAATATTTCGCGGAGGTAATGAATTGGTTGGTCTCCTCATACCACGACGAAGCGAAAATTAACCCCCACGAAAATTAGGGATTTCAAATTACATGTACTTATCTTTTTCATGTTTCTCTTTTTTATAGTTTTAATTTTTTATGTTTTATATATTAATCTCCGGACTGGAGATTCACTTGTTTAATAAAATAATCCAACACAATCCTAATTTCACAAATAGTATGATCTGTCCCTTATACATGTACAAGTCATTTTCATGTACACATATAATTATTTTGTCGAGTTCTGGAGTTGATATTTCCGTTTTTAGAGCAGTATGGCTAAGTGCTAAATCATACATGTAGTCAGGAAAGCGATTAACATAGCATAATATTGCAGAAGTTTTTCAATTCCTTAAAAGTAAACAACAAAAAAGACATTTGATCTTTTGACCAGTGTTCTGTTGCTATTTTAGTAAACATGTAACTTGCATATATGCGAGTTTTGCTGCTATTTTGTGCATGTATTACTTGTGTATTCCGAAGTATTCACAACCGGAATCATCAGATCGTTTTCTATAACTTGTTGAGTTTCATCTCAGTATAAGTGCTTTATAAGTGATATTCTTAATAAAAATGAAATATTTGCATCTGCAAACATCATTTTTTTTTTTGGTATCCTGATATACCGGGGATTCTTAGAGATTGGTGATCATACCCAGTAAATAATTATTTGCGGTATAATGCAACCGCAGAAATTGAAAACGCAGAAATTAATTTGCTATCTTTTAGGGGTTAAATCGCAAAAATTTCCAACCGCAGAAAATACCCGTTATACGGTATGATTTTGGAAAATCAGAAACACGTCCTTTTAACAAAAATACATTTTCTGCCTGTACCAAATATGAAAATTATCAACTTCCGTAAAAAAAATTCAATGATTATGGAATTAAAATTTAATTATATGAATAGATATGTTACAATGACTTGACTAATTCCATTATTGGAAACAAATGTTTAATTAATTTCACATCCTGAAACGCTATAGTGAAACACGTGGGGTATATAAGGAAGCAATGCACGTGTTAATTACTCGACTTTTTATTAAGATTCAAAAATGAATAAAGTCATATTTTTGTCTCAAGTGTTAAAAATATTTTTTCTCATATAAACGTGCATTTGAGAAATGAAGCCAAAAGTATAGGGAAAAAAAATGAACATTTATTAAGAATGAAATTATGAGGTTCATTGGTCCTCTAATGAGAAATAAAACTATCACTGGGAAATTAAACTATTATTTCCTTTAAGTAAATACGATTTCTTCATGTCAAATTTTGCACTGCAATGTATGCTGAAAATATTTGCATTCCAGTTATACATAAAATCCTAAAAATCAAAATCTTATATGAGTAAACAAAGGGGCGATGATTCTTAAGCCTAATGATTATCTATAATATATGTTTAATTGGAAATATATATTTTTCTTTTTAAAACAGAAAATGTCCAATTCCATAATATATAGCAGTCTTCAATGTATTTCTTTTTACATTTTTAGGTCACCTGAGTCACTCAGGTGACCTATTGCCATCCGTTTTTGTCCGTCGTCGTACGTCGGTCATAAACTTTTGAACATTTTTAGCTTCTTCTCTGGAACCGCTCAACCAATTTCAACCAAATTTGGTATATAGCATCTATGGGTGAAGGGGAACAAAAATTTTGAATTTCATGGTCCCTGCCCCCCTGGGGCCTGAGGGGTGGGGCTAAAACCACCAAAAATAATGCAATCTTTAAAAATCTTCTTCTTTACTCCTGGACATCAAGCAGACAAACTGTTGGCATCATTGTAATAAGCATGGAGCCCTCTACCAAAATTGTGAAATTCATGGCCCCAGGGTGGGGCTATATAGATCATGTAGTGAAAGTGCATTATTTCTTTGAAAATCTTCTTCTCTGCTCCTGGGTATTAAATAAAGTTACTAAGTATATAGTTATGATGAGCAAGAGTGCCTCTTCCAAAATTGTGAAATTCATGGCCCCAGGGTCAGGGGTTCTGGTATTAGGGCGGGGCTCTATAGATTATATAGTGAAAATGCATTAATTCTTTGAAAATCTTCTTCTCTGCTTCTGGATATTAAATAAAGTAACTAAGTACATAGTTATGATGAGCAAGAGTACCTCTTCCAAAATTGTGAATTTCATGGCCCCAGGGTCAGGGGTTCTGGTGTTAGGGCGGGGCTCTATCGACTATATGGTGAAAATGCATTAATTCTTTGAAAATCTTCTCCTCTGCTCCTGGGCATTAAGGTGATAAACTAAGTACATAGTTATGATGAGGAGGTGGGCCTCTTCCAGAATTGTGAAAGCCATTGCCCCTGGAACAGGGGTTCTGGTGTTAGGGCGGGGCTCTATTGATTATATAGTGAAAATGCTTTAATTCTTTGAAAATCTTCTTCTCTGCTCCTGGGTATTATTTAAACAAACTAAGTACATGGTTATGATGCATAAGGATGCCTTTTCAAAAATTGTGAATTTCTTGGCCCCAGGGTCAGGGGTTCTGGTGTTAGGGCGGGGCTCTATTGATTATATAGTGAAAATGCATTGATTCTTTGAAAATCTTCTTCTCTGCTTCTGGAGATTATTTAAACAATCTAAGTGCGTGGTTTTGATGCATAAGGATGCCTTTTCAAAATTGTGAATTTCATGCCCCAGGGTCAGGGGTTCTGGTGTTAGGGCGGGGCTCTATAGATTATATAGTGAAAATGCATTGATTCTTTGAAAATCTTCTTCTCTGCTACTGGAGATTATTTAAACAAACTAAGTGCATGATTATGATAGACAAGGATGCCTCTTCCAAAATTTTTAAATATATGGCCTCAGTTTTTGGGTTTCTTGAGGAGGGGGGGGGGGGGGCTCTATTGATTACATAGTGAAAAAGCATTAATTCTATTAATCAATTAATCCTGTCTGCTCCTTAGTGTTGAGCTGATAAATAAATTGCTTAGCTATGATGAAAATGGGAGCTTCGAACAGAATTTTTAAATCTTGTGGTCCTAGGGTCAGGGGTTCTGGCATAACGAGAAGGGGGGGGGGGGGCTTTTGATAATATAGTTGAAAAGTGTTAATTCTTTGAAGTTCATAGTTATGATGATGAGGGTAACTCTTCGAAATTTGTAAATTTCTTGACTCTTGGTCTTGGGTTCTGGTGTTAGGGTAAGGCTTTGTTGAATCTGTAGTGAAAATGCATTGTACCTGTGAAATTCTTCTCTGCTTCTGGGCATATTGGAAGCAAACTGAGTAAAAGTTTAAATGATATGAGTAAGCGTATTTCTACCAGATTTTTAAACATCTGGACCATTGGTCCAAGCATTCTGGTCCTGGGCAGGGCTCTATTAATTTGTATTCTACTGAGAGAAGTTATTCCCCTTTTCCATTCACCTTTGATAATTAATCACTGTAAATAATGTATTTGAAAGGTTAATAGAATAAGATAATTATGCAAGAATGTTTATCGTATAATTAAAAAAGTACTTTCTTAGTTTTAATAAACAGGTAGACCTGTAAGTAATAGATAAATAAAAATGAGACAAAAATAACTTATCTTATTAAAAGTTCTTGAAAGACCATAAGAGAGGTCAATGCTAGAGGTCTTAATATGGGATTATAAATAGAACAGAAGCACTTATAGTTTGTTAATAGTCTGCATAGAGTTAAGTGGGGGACAGATTAGAACTTAATTTATGAGTTGATACTGAATACTAGACTAATTATTTTGTTGATCCTGATCTTCCTACTTCTCTTGCTTTAGGGCAACAAAGCTTCAACTATCAGTGTATTTAACTTCTAAATTGTTGTATTATACTCAGGTGACCGTTAAGGCCCTTGGGCCTCTTGTTCTCTCTTTATGTACATTTGGTCTTATCTTTCGGAGAGAGGTGAAATTCATCGAAAAGGTCAACATGAAGATAATTCTTGTGAGTATGTAGATATAATAGGCACAAAATAATTCTTATTAAGTTACTGACCTACAATTATAAGTACTGATATAAAATTCAGAAATACCTTGACTTTAAAAGCTATTCATCCTACACACCGTATATTTACGATCTTTTGATAGACAGTGAATCTGGAAGACATGATGTCTTTCTGCATATAATTTCAAATATTTGTACTTCTTCTTGACCATACCTTATCCATGAGCTAAATCTCTCAAACGTGAATTGGAGTGAATCAGTTAAGGAAAAATGATTTTTTTTTCTTTTTTACATTTCAATAGGTCCATTGTGCTACCTTGATTCTCGTTCATATACCTGGCTTCTTCAGTCTATCTGTCCAGTCGTGTCCACTTCCGCCACCATGCGAGTGTGACAGGGAAGACCCTATCGTTTACTGTCGTGACAAAAACCTGACTTCTATTCCCAATGTCACAAAAGCTGACGGTTTGTGGGCATTCTATCTGGGAGCGAATAAGATCACTCGAATTCCATCCAGAAGTTTTGTTGGAGTGACGCTTCAAATGTTGATTCTTGACAGTAATGAAATTAACAGCATTGATGATGATGCATTCGCGGGAAGTGAAGATAGTCTGCTGGTCCTTCATCTGCATTATAACAGATTGAAGGAATTACCGACGGCTGTTGGTAGTCTGAGGAAAATTATGGGAATAAATTTACAGGGAAATCCAATGGCGGATTTCAGGGATGAGGTGCTGCAGAAAGTGGCATCCTCTTTGCAATTTATAAGCATGGGGTCTGACGCAATGCCAAAATGGCCCGACAGTATGAAATACCTACCAAATTTAATTTCAATAGATCTATATGATGTTACTTTCCCTACAATTCCTGACAACGCCTTCCAACTTTATAGGAAGAACATGTCATTTCTTAGCTTTTATAATACAAGTCTGATAACCTTACCATCTTTTAACGGACTAGACTCTTTAGGTGACTTACTTTTTCAAGGTAACAAAAACATCTCTGCGAATGCTATTTCAAACTCTGCGAAAAGCGGATTGCCAAATCTAATGCATGTCATTTTTGAAGACAACAACCTTGAAACAATTCCGAATATCTTTATGAAATCTCCTAAACTCGGCGCTTTGACAGTTTCCTCGGAACCTATTGCGTATATACGTGATGACGTCTTTCCACCAAATGTATTCTCAAATTTCATGTACCTTTTCTTCAACAACACGAAACTCACTCGCGTTCCATCGTGTGTTTCCTCTCTAGCAAGCATCGTCCGGCTCCAAATTACAAACAGCAAAATTACAGAAATTGCTGACTCCGATTTTGGAGGTATGACAAAACTCGCCTCGTTATACCTGTCCGGGAATCCAATCACCCAGGTATCCAAGGACGCTTTCATGACCATAAACCAACTCACAGATGTTCGATTGGACAACACGAATTTGACCACCATCCCTACCGCCATCATGAACATTAAAGCGCTTCAAGATGTTGATCTCTCCGACTCTCCTGTGCGGTGCAGTTGTGGAGGTCTGGGGTGGATTAAGCATTGGAAAATCAAGCCGGAAAATCTTGAAGTATTTGGTGACTGTGTAAATATTAAGACAAGTTTGATGACATATATTAACAAAGAGGTAGCAAAATGTCCGAACTAGACTATATAAGAACATGTACTGGTATATCGTCATCTTGTCTCCGATATGTACTATATATATATATATATATATATAAATATATACAATATTTTAATCAAACCAAAGAATATCCATATAAATATGAAATGTGAATTGTTTGTCAACTGTCTACATCGACAGTAGAATACAGTGGAAACTGTCTACCTTGTAAAATCGAAAGTACGTTAGAATGGAAACTGTCAACTGCATGTCAACCTAGTAAGGTCGACATTAAATTATATACAAGATAAGCAATTAGTTGGTGCACTCAAGGCCACTCATCAATAAAAATCAAATTAACTGAAAACTGCACTATATTAGCATTGTAATAAGGTCGGTAGTTAATTGGAATGAAAACTGTCAACTGCCAACTGTCTAAGTCGACAGTAGATTAGAATGGAAACTGAAGTGGAAACCAAATTACTACTCTCATATTTACAAGGCTCTGCATTGGGACTATACATTCCCTTATATTGGAGTTAACAACTACAATAAAAGATAAAGAAGAAGTGGTGCCTGTAATTTGAATATTTTATCATAAGTATAAAAGTAATAAGGTCGAAAGTAGATAAGAATGGTATCTGTCAACTGTCAACCTTGTAATATGGTCGACAGTAATATATGATCAAACCCCAAGTTTTTTATGTACGTAAAGTGTTGTAGACAAATGGAAACCAAATTACTACTTTCATATGTATAAGTTTCTGCATAGGTACTACGTACATTGCCTTATATTTATACAATATAAGGCTATGCTACAATGTAGTACCCGTTTTGAATATGCGTTATTTACCCAGAATACACATTTAAGAATTCCTGTCAAATATATTGGATAACATATGCATGTATAAACTTCCATTGTCTCCAAGAATATATCAAGATTAGCAATTACATTGTTGTTGGCGTACTCATTACGAAGTGCTAAAAAGATGCATATGCATGTAGATAGTCATTTTCTCATTGTCAGACACCATTTATTTACCTCAATAACAAGGATTCTGGGTTCCACGTCATCTTTTTAAAAAGACTGGCGAAAGATTTTTTTTTTTTTTTTTGACTTTTGAAGCAAAATAGGAAGATACATTTTACGTTTGATTGCTGCAAATATTCTTAACGTATAAAAAATTAATCAACAATTTAAATTCGCTTAATCAAGTAATTGTATTACTATTTTTTAAAAGGCTACGTCTTCTATTTTTTATAGGCAGTGCCCGCTTTTCCTTTTTTATCGGGCTCTGGATACTAAAATGAACCAATTTTCGTTTTTGCACAATTTGAAGAAATTAAGCACATTCGTCAGCTATTCTGAATATGTAAACCTTTTAAACAAAAAATTATATCGAAAAAGAACTCAAATAATTTATGTGTGATTCTTGAATCGGAAGAAGAGAAGTGGTAATATATTTTTCATTTCGTTCTGTTCATTTTAATATGATTTACGTAGAACCACTTCCGCTTCGCATACGTCATTGTCAAAAGAAAATTAGGTTGGAGAAATTGACGTGGCATTGACAAATATTCGTGTATTAGGTTGTCATTGAGACGTTGTGGAAAGTAGCTTTGTTGTGAAGGTTAATATCAAGACCTAATCTATCCAAAATTTTCCATAATTTTGTTACCGATAATCGCATTAAACTTTAGTCATCGAAAATGGGGCTCACCATTTCCAGCTTGTTCAATCGTTTGTTTGGAAAGAAAGCAATGAGAATTCTCATGGGTAAGATTGATTCTTATACCGTAAAACTAATTTCATGATGAAAAAAAAATATCTTTGATATTTGTACTTCGATTCCATTTATAGGTCTTGTTGTCTAATTTAGTAGGTGGAGGATTTCAACTACACTTAATCAATATAAAGAAAAGGGGGGATCATAATCTTTGTAGTTACAAGAATCTAACTGTGTCTCTACCCTAACCAGAGTAAGAATACGTCTTATATAGTTACAATATAGCAAAATGGAGCAGATCCACTCTAGCAAGAACAGTTTTACTGAAAAGTAACCACCAAAAATTCCTTTTTGAGCTTGTACAAGTGTGTGCCTTCTGCTGGAATAAGAATCATTACAAGGGAAAAAAAGCAAAATGGTTTCTCATTTTTTAATTTTTTTTTCTCACTTCAAATTAATCTACCATGTTGCCAAATCATGACTTTCTGAATGGTCTCTAATGTAGTGTACTGCATGGGCTTTATGGGTTGTGGATATCGGCCTGGATAGCTCAGTGCACCTTATTAGTAATGCATGGGCCCTGGGTTCAATTCCTAATTCAACCTTAAACTTTCTCCTTTCCAGTTATGGTAGCATACACATAGATTAAGATTATCTACCCCATTTTATTTTATTACATTGTCAAAACATGGAAGAACAGTTGAACTGTGTCTAGTATAATTCATTATTTTTTATATATACATATATAATAATTCACAGTTCAAGAAAATGGCATCATGTGTAATGTTTAAATGTTTTCAGTTGGACTTGACGCTGCTGGTAAAACAACCATCCTATACAAGCTGAAACTAGGAGAAATTGTGACAACTATTCCCACAATTGGTAAGGTATTTTTTAAATGAATAGATGATTTGTGATATTAAGTAACGTCTAGGCATTTTGTATGTCTGCACATCAGACACATGTCAGAGGGCATGTATTGATAATCCAGAAGTTTGGAAGACTGGAATCATTTTATCAAAAATGCACCATGGATAAGGTACTTTCAATATATTTGAAGAACTTCATTGACCATACATGCCACCAATGAGGATTTTGGTAAAAAATTGTGGATGACTGTTTTTGTCTTATTTGAAAGCTATTATTATTCATACCCAACTCTACATGTATATCACTGAATGGCATTCATCCAGTTTTCATACTAGAAAAAATGATATAATTCAAGAATTTTTAAATTTTCTCAAGAAATATAAGGTTTAGCATTTGCAAGTTTCAGAATCACAGTCTATGCGAAAGTCACTGGACCGTAAGCTTGTTCATAAAAAAATTTTGTTATACATGTTATAATCTCAACTCTGGATCTATTTGAGGTTCAATTTAACAGTGAGAATCCCCCCTCCTTTTTTTCCAATCTCTGTATCATAATGTTGTATGAATGAATTTAAAGAAAAAAAGGTTGGTCTGGTAAGTAAATATATTTTTACGAGACCTTATGTCCTGTAAAAATTTTAGACTTTTTCACAGACTGGAATCATCATGGCTTTAACTAGTAAGCATGGTAAGATGAGAGAAAGGATGTATTTTTCTTCATTGCAATATATGAAAAGTTACAGACCATACCATTTTATGTTTCTTACATGTAGTTTGATTATTCATATTCTACACCCCTATCAAGAAATTTCACCCAAATTTTTATTTTAGGTTTTAATGTGGAGACAGTTGAGTACAAGAATATTAGTTTTACTGTATGGGATGTTGGTGGTCAGGACAAAATCCGTCCTCTTTGGAGACACTACTTCCAGAATACTCATGTGAGTTAATACTTCTCTATTGAAGAAAAAATTGTAAACAAAGTTTCACGAAATAAATTTAGTGACAGTACAATGTTAAGAACATCTTTTACTTTGCTCCTGTTAATTTTATTGTTTTCTAGAAAAAAAAAATCTATTCTATCTTTGTATTCTTGTTTTTCTTCCATTACTATTATTATTTATGACATGTTTCACAATATTTGCAAAAACTAGTCAGGATAATAGACCCATTTACATAAAACAGTTTTTCAAAGACAAAGTGTTTGTTTCAAATGACAGTTACAGGTACTTGTATTTATCAGTTATGATCTGTAAGTTTGCTACATTAGGATGCAGTGATAGTGAAGTAATAAGATATATACAGTCAAAGCTCGTTATCTTGAACTTGAAGGAACAGGGATATACGTTTGAGATATCTGAGGATTCGAGATAATGAGGTTAAAAACATAAAGAAATGTGGTTGGGACTGCTAAGTCACTTAAACACATCCCTGGTATTTGAGATACTGGCATTTGAGATATCGAAGTTCAACTATATACATATTTGAGGCTGAAATTTTATTTCTTTTCAGGGTCTCATTTTTGTTGTGGATAGCAATGACCGAGAAAGAGTTGATGAGGCTAAGGCAGAATTATGTAAAATGGTGAGTTGTAGATCATGTAGATCAGACACTTAAAATAATTTATATGGCACACATAATAAAAACTAGACACATTACTATTAAATTTTCTTCATATAGAAACAAAATATAATTTTCATGCTAAATTTAGGATGTAGCTTATAATTTATGCCGAAAACAAGATTATTCCTTATATCTGCTAGTAAAGAGTTCTTAAACATTTATTTATATAAATGTGCTACATAACAGTGCTTGTAAAATTCAAATGAGCTTTGAAGATTTGCTTCATTCAGAAAGAACTGAATGTACCATCAATGAAAAGTGTCACAAGTTTACGTTGTGTTCATGATCTGAGTTTTTCACTGTTATCTAAAAACACTCCCAAATAGGAATGTAAAATTTTTAAAATCGATAACTGTAAAAGGAAGATCATATCAAGTATGCAGATGAACAGGAAAACAAAAGGATACACTGGTAGTGATGTTGTCTATCTGTATAATAGATCTATTTATTTAAAAGAATTTTTCTTTTCATAGATTTATTATTTGTGTACAAAAGGACCTATCTATTTTATACAAAGATGGTGTCACTCTTTCATGTTCTGTGTAAGAAAATATTAGTCTGCAATAAGCAAAAAAAGCTAGATTTTCTTGATATGGGTAAAGTTTGTAGATGTCTCTGAATAATACACATATGCTTGCCAAATGAAATAGCAGCATCCAAACAGAAGTAAAACAAGTGAGGCTGACAGAAAAATTGTTTATTTAAATATTCTACCTCTTGAGAATTCTGAAAAGATCAGATGTGTTCAGCAAATTATTGTTTGAAGAAAAATGAGTCCTAATGGATATTTTGTTCACAACATTGAATGTAAAGTTAAGTAAATAATTGTTGTCATTCACTTGTAACAGCAATGCAGGAAAAGCAGGGGTATATATTTAAAGAAATTAATATTTATGTGTACATGTATATATGGCACAGAGAGGATTGAGTTGGGTATATAAGTGAATTAAAAAAATAAAGATTTAAAGAAGCAGTGTTTTTGAAATCAAGTCTTGGAAGGAGAGTGACATCATCCATTAAAATATCTGAAATAATTTGGGTGCTCTTCATATATATCATACCTTGCATCTAATATCTTAACAACCAAATTGTTCAGTCTTCAGATTTTCAACTGAAAGAAGAAGCCTGATTTCATTCAATTAGTTTCACACCAAACTTACTAGTTTTATAGCTTTTTTGCATATTAATTTTTTTTTATAATCTGTTGTTTCTTTTGTAGTTGGAGGAAGATGAGCTAAGAGATGCTGTTTTATTAGTGTTTGCCAACAAACAGGATCTCCCCAATGCCATGTCAGCTTCAGAAATCACAGAAAAACTGGGACTCAGTCAACTAAGGGGACGAAAAGTAAGCAATATTTTTGTATTATTATTAATTCTGAGTGCAAACAGAATTTTGCTTTATATTTTAATTATATCATGTGATAAAAATCTGATATAAAAGAAAAATAAAAAGTACACTTTCAGTTTTTAGCTCACCTGAGCTGAAAGCTCAAGTGAGCTTTTCTGATCACCCATTGTCCGTCGTCCGTCCGTCTGTCCGTCCGTCCGTCTGTCCGTCCGTCTGTAAACTTTTCACATTTTCGACTTCTTCTCAAGAACCACTGGGCCAATTTTAACCAAACTTGGTACAAAGCAACCTTGGGTGAAGAGGAGTTTAAATTGTTAAAATGAAGGGCCAAGTCCCCTTCAAAGGGGAGATAATCAAGAAAATACAAAATTGGGTGGGGTCATTAAAAAATCTTCTTCTCAAGAACCACTGGGCCAGAAAAGCTGAAACTTATCTGGAAGCATTCTAAGGTAGTGTAGATTCTAAATTGTTCCAATCATGACCCCCGGGGGTAGGGCGGGGCCACAATGGGGAATCCAAGTTTTACATTGAAATATATAGGAAAAATCTTTAAAAATCTTCTTCTAAAGAACCACTGGGCCTGAAAAGCTGAAACTTATGTGGAAGCATCCTGGGGTAGTGTAGATTCTAAATTGTTCAAATCATGACCCCCGGGGGTAGGGCGGGGCCACAATACGGAATCCAAGTTTTACATTGAAATATATAGGAAAAATCTTTAAAAATCTTCTTCTCAAGAACCACTGCGCCTGAAAAGCTGAAACTTATGTGGAAGCATGCTGGGGTAGTGTAGATTCTAAATTATTCAAATCATGACCCCCGGGGGTAGGGCGGGGCCATAATAGGGAATCCAAGTTTTACATTGAAATGTATAAGAAAAATCTTGAAAAATCTTCTTCTCAAGAACCACTGCGCCTGAAAAGCTGAAACTTATGTGAAAGCATGCTGGGGTAGTGTAGATTCTAAATTGTTCAAATCATGACCCCCGGGGGTAGGGCGGGGCCACAATAGGGAATCCAAGTTTTACATTGAAATATATAGGAAAAATCTTTAATAATCTTCTTCTCAAGAACCACTGGGCCAGATAAGCTGAAACTTACTTGGAAGCATCCTGGGGTAGTGTAGATTCCAATTGTTCAAATCATGACTCCTGGGGATAGGGCGGGGCCACAATAAGTACTTTGGGGGGGGGGGGAAATCAGGTGAAAAACAGCAAGGCCAAAGTTACTCAGGTGAGCGCTGTGGCCCATGGGCCTCTTGTTTGAATTCTTATTCATGTAAATGGTAGTTGTTAAATTATAGGTATTATTCATTTTTAGCTCTTCTGAGCCAAAGGCTCAAAGAGCTAATGCTATGGCCATTTGTGCGGTGTGCGATGTGCGTAAACTTTTTAGAATATGGGCCATAACTCAAGAACCCCTTGGCCAATTATTGTCAAATTTGTCACAGGGTATCCTTGGCCCAAGGGCTCCCTTTTATACTAAAACTGGGGTTGTGACCCTTTAACAAGGGGAGATAATTAGGAAAATAGAAACAAAAGTACTGGTTGCTAAAAAATCTTCTTCTCAAGAACCACTTGGCAGATTATCACCAAACTTACACAAAAGGATGAGGATATGTTGTAGATTAAAATTTGCACGGGGATTTACCCTGGGGCAAAGGGCGTGGTCTCAAGGTCACTTCAAAGTTGACCAAAAATTACATTTTATTAAAATGTTGATATTTTGCTTACTATAAGGACTAGGATCATCAAATCTTGTCAGTTGGTGCATCTAAGGACCTCATATCATGTTGACTCAAAAGTAGGTCACGGTGACCTACTTTTTAAATTTTGCGGCCATTCTTTTTCAAAATGATTTAGAGGCATATTTTGAAGAATTTAAGGCCTATGATCATCAAACTTTGTCAGTTGATGCATCTTGGGTCCTCAAAGTACGTCAACTAAAAAGTAGGTCACCTTGACCTACTTTGTGAATTTTATGGCTAATCTTTTTTAAAACAATTAAGGTCATTAATTCGAATACGGGGAGGCTTAGAATCATTAAATCTTGTAAGATGATGCATCTTGGGGCCATAAAACATATTTATTAAAAAGTAGGTCACAGTGACCTTCTTTTTGAACTTTGCAGGCATTCGATTTCAAAGCGTTTTAGAGGCATAATTCGGACATTTTAAGTCCTATGATCATAAAACTTTGTAAGTTGATGCATCTTGGGTCCTCAAAAAAGGTCAACTGAAAAGTAGGTCACCATGACCTACTTTTCAATTTATATGACTATAATTAAATATTTCAGGTACTAATTGGCTTAGAATCATCAAACTTTGTCAGTTGATGCATCTTGGGTCTTCGGAGTAGGTCGACTAAAAAGTAGGTCACAGTGACCTACTTTTGAAAATTTATGGCTTTAATTAAATATTTCGGGAATTATTTGGCTTAGAATCGTCAAACTTTGTCAGTTGATGCACCTTGGGTCTTCAGAGTAGATCGACTAAAAAGTAGGTCACCGTGACCTACTTTTGAAAATTTATGGCTTTAATTAAATATTTCGGGTACTTATTGGCTTAGAATCATCAAACTTTGTCAGTTGATGCGTCATGGGTCTTCGGAGTAGGTCGACTAAAAAGTAGGTCACCGTGACCTACTTTCGGAAAATTTATGGCTTTAATAAAATATTTCGGGTACTAATTGGCTTAGAATCATAAAACTTTGTCAGTTTATGCGTCATGGGTCCTCGGAGTACAACAACTGAAAAGTAGGTCACGGTGACCTACTTTTGAAATTTTATGGCTGTATTTAATATTTTCAGGAATTATTTGGCTTAGAATCGTCAAAATTTGTCAGTTGATGCATCTTTGGTCCTCGGAGTAGGCTGACTGAAAAGTAGGTCACTGTGACCTACTTTTGAAAATTTATGGCTGTAATTAAATATTTTGAGTACTTATTGACTAGAATCATCAAACTTTGTCAGTCGATGTATCTTTGGTCCTCGGAGTACAGCAACTGAAAAGTAGGTCACGGTGACCTACTTTTGAAAATTTATGGCTTTAATTAAATATTACAGGTACTAATTGGCTTAGAATCATCAAACTTTGTCAGTTGATGCATCTTGGGTCCTTGGAGTAAAACAATTGAAAAGTAGGTCACTTTGACCTACTTATAAAATTTTATGATTATAATTTTCAAAAATATTTTAGGTATTAATTGGCTTAGAATCATCAAACTTAGTTGATGGGTCCTCAGAGAATGACAAGTGATAAGTAGGTTACCATGACCAACTCTCAGGTACTAATTGGCTTAGAATCATCTTGGGTTCTCAGAGTGTGAATTGGAATTTCAAGGGTTTATGTAAATATACAGGATGCTTCGAGGCTTCAAATAGAAGTGATAGGTTGTACAGTTTATCAGAAGAGCGATTCAAGGCCCATGGGCCTCTTGTAATTATTGTTTCTTTTCAGTGGTATATTCAAAGCACATGTGCCACACAAGGAACAGGATTATACGAAGGACTTGATTGGCTCTCAAATGAGCTTTCAAACCAATGAAAACTTTGTTTGCAAAAGAGGCTAGGAATTTCTTTGTGGATTTGCATTTACATTGTAATTGTTCAAACATTCAGTCATAAGCCATAAAGATCAGAACAAAGTATTGAATGGACCTAGTGAAAAACAAGTGTTCACAAGAAATTGTTCATAACAGGGCAGAACTCCTTGTAGGAGAGACTGCACATGCTTGTGTCATTGTTATCAAAATGTTAATGTATTAATTAATCATTAAATTATGTGTGCATTGTTCATATGGATAAGTGATGTATTTAATATATATACATGTACAAGTTGTGATTTTATGTATTGAGGATTGTCTTCATTCCAGATTTTAGTATTCAGTATATGAGACCAATATGTTCAAATGTCTCCCGATACTTAATATAGATTCCAACATTGAAAAGGTCATATATTCAATTTGGATTTGGATTTTTAAGAAGTTTGATGTATTTTTTTTTCTGTACAATACTTCGTATGTCTGTACAATACTTCATATATCAGGAAAGATGTAATGTAGCAGACATGCGTATAACACTTCCTAAGCTATTTATAGTGCCATCAGATATTTGCTTTCACAATGCAATGCTAATTGTTCTTCTGTTAAATTCACAAAGTTTGATGGCATCATAGTTGAAGCTTACTCTTTATTATCTGGAACAGTACTACATAAGAACAACAATAAAATGTCACATGGATTTGGGCTAAATAAGAAAAATATTTGCTTTTCCAGTACCATCATAAATTTATGAAGATAAATATTGGGTGTACATTTTTCTGTTTAAGTCTTGGTACGCCTGATAATTCTATTGAAATTGTTTTGGTGTTTATATGTATATGCATTAAAGAATGGGCATGCTCTTGAAACAAAAAACATTCTGGTGTGAAAAAAAGTTGTACATAATTACATGTATGTAGGTGACATTATTGCACTGTGCATGCTGTTTTGTACTGATTTGCAGAGCATACAGTGTTCCAGAACTGTCAAAAAACCAATGTTACATCATTTTCAGTTACACATTCACATACCTTAAAATACAGTTTGGTTTAAACATCTCTTTTTTTTATGGTGTATGGGAAATTATTTAATATAGACAGTTTTTAGTATTTCCTTTTTAAGATAACTTTTTTGCACAACTATCAGTTCTTTTGGCAATATTCAGGAAAAAGCTCTCTATGTTGTGTCAAAATATTTTATTTTCTTTAAAAATTGTATGGCATATTTTTCCACCTTTAATATGTACCTGTGTAAATTCAAGCTAAATATCAGAATCTGTTTTATTGCAAAATTTGTATTTTCATATTTAAACTTATTTTTTCACTTTCTTCATGAATAGAAACAATTAAAAGCTGCCTGTTTAGCAGACAATGGTGTGGGAGAGTGAGATATTACGGAGGAATCTACGTGTTCTCTGTAAAAATTATATGAATAAATTGTGATAAAAATGAACTTTTGTAACACTCCTTTGATTCACAATGCACCAGCCTCTGAAATATCATGATTTCATTTTTGATCAAGCAGGTGATGATTTCAAAGATAGTATAGGTTTACTATTCTTAGTACACGTGTGGATCGGGGGGGGGGGGGGGGGGGGGGGGTTCCGGACCCCCCCTATGGAATTTGCAAAGTCATTAAAAGTATATATACTGAAGCAAATAAAAAATGACTTTGGACCCCCCACCCCACCCCACCCCAGAAAACTTGGACCCCATCACGAAATAGGTATTTTTCACATTTAAGAAATAGAATTTACGTTTTTTTTTTTGGAACCCCCCACCCCCCGGAAAATAATTCCTGGATCCGCGCCTGGTACACACAATGTGGTGTGACTTTTCAGGGGGGGGGGGACATATCAAAATTTAATTGAAAATGGCACGATTTGATGAAGGGAGGGGGCACGATTTATGAAATTGTGTCTATGATTTTGACTACTTCAACAAATGGTATAAAGCATGCATGGCTTTTACACTATCAGTTCACAAATAATTGTTGGGTAAGGCAGATAACATTGAATGATGATTTTGTTTGACCTTTAAACCTAAATTTTTACGTGCTAGCTAATTTTTATGTTGAAATCATCAAGGAATTTTATGGGCATTTTTAAACTTAAACGTTGAACCAAAAGTTAATGTCAGAAAATGTTATCTGCGCTGTTACGACGTTACTTTTCGGCACTCATTTTCAGGTCGTGTCCGCCTGGCGCAGAGTGGTTAGAGCGTGGCTCTAAAGTTGAGGAGTTGGGGGCATCCTCACAATGTCGAGGTTTTGTGATTTCGGAACTCCACACAAACCCTTGACATAAGTCGCTATTTAAAGCTACTATTTCATTTGTTCCTGGTCTAGGAGTGGAACCAATCAGAAAACAGCTTTTATTGTTGGTAAGTTTTGTAAACAAATATGACGTTTTAAAATGGAAAGTGTCGATATTGTAGAATTTGCGACTAGTTACATTAAACGAAACATCGGGGATAAATTTTTGGAGGATCGTCCTCCTAAAAATCACAAAAAGATATGCTCTGGAGTTGGTCCATTTGAAAACCATGGATTTGAAAAATATATTCTCATTGGTTAGTTTATAATTACCCATTACGTCATGTGTATTGACATTGTGAGGATGAGTTAGGGGTTGATCCTTACGTCACGGTTCGAATCCACTGTGTGACGTGGATGCCGTTCCTTCGGATGAGACCGTATAAACCGAGGTCCCGTGCAGCAGTAGGTGGCACGAAAAAGATCGCTACATGCAGTGACTGCTCAAAGGTCGTTATTTTATTTTTTTTATTGTAAGTTCAAGTACTCGATTAAAAATCTATGCACAAAAATATAATGAGAAATTTCCATTACAATTCATGTCGTGTATGAAATAAATAAAGATTATCAAAATACAGGAGAGGGAGAAAAAAAATACGCTGCGTCGGCCGGGAATTGAACCCGGATCGACTGCTTGGAAGGCAACCATGCTAACCATTACACCACCGACGCTTAGAGTCAGGTCGTTGTAATTCTGCATATAAACATTTGCACTGATCCTTTTCAAGCGTCTAAATGACACGGAAATGACACATATATGGCGGGAAATAAAATCATAACTCGTGAATAATTGATTAAATTGTCTCTGTGATGTTGGCTCTAAAGAACTCAAGGGTGGCATCCAAGGCTGTACATAGTCCAAAAGACTGGACTTACCGTGAACTGAAGGTTTGTTTATGAATAACATCTACCTTGAACTGCTTGAAGTAATTCTCTGCATACAAATTACAAGTATCAGCTGTGTATGATAAACAGGTCGATTACAAATCAGCTGATTTCTTCTATAGTAACAGTTGTTAAAAATTCGTCAGTTATTATGGATCAATAGCTCATATTGGGAAATAATTGCCGATATGGGATATGATATCCCAAATGGAATGTTCATGTAAATTCACTGAGCAAAATATACCAAAAATTAGCTCGAAATATAGTAAATCGGCATAAAAATGCATAAAAAGCAGAAACATAAATAACGTTTATGTTATTGTCTATGATAAAAACTACAACTTTTGGTAAACAAGGTTCTCTGCAATCCTACTTGATCCAAAGAGTTTCCAACAGTTCATGGACATGGGGGTCAATCTCTCAAAACGTAGGTTCATAGAAATACTTGCTTGCCGAAAGTTATTGCTTTCAGTGTATAATTATGTGGATTTACAATATTTCTAGCTATAGTCTGTCCCATGGTACTAACATCATTACTTTGCATTATATCTCAAAATACTGTAAATACCTGGGGCTTTCAAAGTAATGTTAGTTTGTTTCTGTAAATAGTACATTTTCTTATTTACAAAAATTTCTGCTTGGAAAGAACCCTAGAATTCAGTTAGTATGTTGACAAGGGTATCCAGTCAACTCGTACCCAAACCCAGAGTCAACTCGTACCCACAGCTTAAATGTCAAAAATTAAATCATAAAAAGAAACAATTGTTTTCAAGGGTAAATATATAAGTTTGTATGATTCTAGTATTTTATTTTTTAATGTTTATTGTTAATGACTATATAAATAGTTCTATTTTCTCTGATTTTGTCACACTATAAGATAGCAAAAACAAAAAAACAACAACACACAAACAACAAATTATGAAACGTAAATTTTACATTTAAAAAAATCTTTTTTTTTCAGGTAAGTAATAAACATTATGGATATAACCATAATAAACTTTACAAATTTTATGGCATTATATGGTACGGCATTATAGAGTGTTGACTCTTTGGGTATGACTCGGTTTGGGTATGACTCGGTTTGGGTACGAGTTGACTGTAAATCGTTGACAAGACAGCAAATTCAAAGTCTACTGGGATTTAACATTACAAAAAATGGTCTCCACTTCAGAAGGGGATCTCCATGATCATTATCCATGATTTTCTGTTGCTTGCCGTTAATAACATAATAATGTTCAGAATCATTTTACATCTGATTCAAATGCCACTTCACTTACCCCAGTGTTGGTAATTTGTTTAACAACTCCCTTGGATTAATCTCCCTTGACGTCAATGGCCAAAAATTACATTGTAAATATAGTAGACATTAAAACATTTAGTCATATATATGTGTTTGTATCACGTTGTATGCATCCAATATTGTTAAAACAGGTTTGGAAATGATGAAACTTTAATGTTTAATTGTATTTCTTTGAAAACAAGTCAAAATTTATTTGATATTCTTTAAAATGTGGAGGGAGCCCACATGTTAGAAATACTAGAATTTTTTTTTCTTCATTTTCTGTACAGTTAATATATATCCCATATTGGATATTATAACCAAATTAGACCATTTTATCCCACCTGGGCAATTCATTCCCACCTTTTAAGTACACAATGCCAATAATAGTAATGAAATGACAGACAAACAAATGAAAGCTTACAGAAACCTATTTCTTATGAGAAGCACACCAACTACTGTGAACTCACAACTCTGACAACCATTTATTAAAGTGAAGAATGCAGTTTGTGACGTGAGAAGTCCAATTTGTCAAATGAGGGGTCTATACTTAAAAAAGCATTCTCTTTTTTTTATCAACCTGCTTCCAGTTGGCATTGAATTGTTATACTTCACATTCACACTCACACTTTTCTTGCAGGAGATAGATAGCCTTCTGAGATGTCCAATTTGTTATGATTTCATACATACTGCCATGATTCTACCAGAGTGTTCACACACATGTAAGAAGATTATGTTATTATAAACAAGCTTTAACAGCTTTAAGATGCATATATTATAGCAAAAGTTCTGCACAGAGCTAAAATAATCCTTTACATTGTTTAAAATTAAATGTATTATGTGGTAATTTCTCTACAGGCACTGTCAGTGTCAGACTGAATAATGGAATATCACAATCTTTTTTTACAGTCTGTTCTTTCTGCATCAGACAACATTTATCCCACACCAACAAGTGTCCGATCTGTAATAGTGTAAGTACATTTATTATTATAATACTCATGTACATGTTTTATGTGTAATAGTGGGCTGATGTAGGCAAAGCAGGGAAAATGCTTGGCTTTAGGAAATATGTGTAGGCCTACCTGCAAATGTTTGTGTGGTTAATCTGCATTGTTCCTTTGACAATTTTGAGTATGTAACGGAAAAAAATATATACTTTTAAATTTGCATTCTGATGAGTAATCTGTGATTATATTTATGTATCGTCACAAGGAGTCATTGTATCTAGGTATTAAAATATGTAAACTGATAATGATTTTTAATATTTTATTTCAAATTATTGTATGTTCAGGCTGCATGTGAGAACAATTTAAGAAACAACAGACTGGTAGATGATGTGATTTTACAGTTTAAATCCATCAGGTAAATATACATGTATGTCATTGAACGATTGGTTTGTCTACCATAAATCCATGAAATATGTCTTAAATTTTCATACTGTTTGTGTTTAAAAGCATATTTCAGAAAAGCTTTATTCAAAATTTTGCATCATTCAACAAAAGTTTAAATGGTATACATTAGCTTTTGTTATACCTTTAAAAATTAGTTCCTATATAAATATATACTAAAAAAGTCTAACATTCCTAATGTTTTACTGAGCAGTCATAAAAAAATTGATGTTTGACCGCAGAGTGAGATATTGGACCTGTGGACGAGATATTGGACAGCTTATGTCACACTGTGGGCGGGATTATCTAAATCTTACTTGTATTCATTAGTGTGGAAGCTAGCGGCAAAAGAAAAATGTATAATTACAAAAATAAATAAAAGGTATAACAAAACATATATTGACTGCGTTCTCGGGCAAATGCGTTTTGTCGACCCCTCAAACCAAACTTTGCCTTTGGCCTAACAGCTTCAGGCAAACAGTTTGATTCTTGGGTCCGACAAAACGCATGTTGCCCTCGAACCCAGTCAATAAATGTATAATAGATGACATTATATAAATTTTGATCAAGAAAATCTTTTGCTGCTGATTAATTAATGTTTTCATTAATGTTTTAAAATTCCTTTTTAGATCTCGTTTACTTGAAATCACAATGAAACACTCAACTGATAAAGATGTCAACTACTGCAATTTCAACAAAGTATGAACTTATATATCTATTGCCATTATTTTTTTATTTCATAAAAAGTAAAATTCAAATTAGTATGCAATATATTTAATGTTAAGCAGTTCCACAAATGGAACAGTACTTTGTTACATCTTAATATAAAGTACCTTATACATGTATAATTTAAAATCAAAATATACTTTTTTTTTTACCAATATCTTTAATTTTAAAACTACGGTTGAACTTCGGTATCTCGAACACTGATATCTTGAATACCATGGATATGTCGAAGTGATTTGGAGGTCCCAATCCCTTGTTCTTAAGTATTTAACCCTGGGTATCTTGAATCCTTGGATTTCTCGAAGATTTTCCTGGGTCCTATTGGGTTCGAGATAACGAGGTTTGACTGTATTAAGAATGGAGAATTGTGAACATTGTACTGAATTTTTTTTTTGAAATTCTGCCTACAGAAAACATTGCAAGACACAAAGACTCAAAGTTTACTTCCAATTTCGAAAAATACATGTAATATTGCTACAAAAGATGTAGCTGTCATTGACCTCGTATCAGAAGATGGTGATGAGAATGAAAAAGATTTTGAGGATCAAACATCTAATGAGGATAAAGAGAACATCACAGAGGTGGATCAAGGATTTTGTACACCTAAAGCCAAGGCTGGTACACAGTTCACTGATCTGAACAAGATCGGAGAATCCTCCAGCTCAAAGACGTGGAGCCCATCTTATCTTGGCATGTTTTCACCTTCACCAAGAAAAATGGGTAAAATTACCATTTCAAAATGTATTCAAGTAAATTTGCATTAAAAGTAATTATAATTGGCTTTAATTTGGAAGATTCAAGATGAGCACTCACACTTTTTCAATATTTCTTTTTATTGATATTTAAAATAAAACATATACATACATGTATTTTTCAGATTGTCATGTTGAAGTGTTAAGAATTGGATATTGATATTTTCTCCTAGAAACATGTTAAACAGTGTAATTGTCATTTTCTTTATCAGTTATAAATAAAACTTGGATGTTTTGAAGAAAAAAAATTACTACCCCTACACACCAAAGAAGGCAAAGATTTAGAATTAATAGTCCTTTTAGGGAAAAAAAGTTCAAAGTCTGTTAGCTCTGTTGAAAACCTACTAATACATGTAATATCGGGCTAGCTATCGATCAGAATGAATTTATGCAGAGTTCTTTGTATATTGACTTCAGTTCATTACAAGATTTGCAACACTGATTTCAATTTGTCCTTGATTCATTCAATTGGTTGGTTAGTCGGATTTCATTTTGTCCTTGATTCATTGATTTGATTGCATGGCTAGTCTGATTTCAGTTGTCTTTGATTTGATTAGGTAGTCTGATTTCAGCTTGTCCTTGATTCATTGGTCTCATTAGCTAGTTTCAGTTTGTCCATATGCTTTGGTTTACTGATGTTAATTGTTGGTGGACTACTTTCAGTTCCTTGTCCTGTCTGTGGAATATCTTTAAAAGAATCTGCCATGAATGATCATCTAGACATTTGTCTTGGGGGAGAGGAAAAAAAGTCAGCACTTAGAAAGTATGTTTAACACATTAATAAATAAAATCTTTGTCGTTTTGCTCCTCGATTTATCAGTTTATTTTTTTATAAGCCTGGCAAAATGTGAAGGTTGACAATTAATACATGTACATATGCAACAATGTTTTAGTACAAATCTCTTTTCTGCTTAAACTTTCAGTAAGGCGTGACAATCTCGGCAATACATAATTAGCGTCTCTCAAACCGTGACCTAGATTCTCATTGGTTAAGAAATTAATAACATTAGCAACTTTAGATTGTTGTTAACAAACGATGAGATGACATAAACCACACCTATTTACTGTAAGGAACGATGTAATTGGTTCCTTGCTTCACTCGTTGACTCTGACTCATTTTTATCCCATGTGTATTTCACCCATAAATGAAAAGCTCTGTAAATTTCAGTATTGATGAGCTAATACGGCAACCAATAAGAATCTAGGTCACTGTTTGAGAGACGCTAATTATGTATCGCCGAGAATGTCACCCCTTACTGAAAGTTTAAGCAGAAAAGACATTTGTACTAAATGTTGTTCATCATTTTGACATAGTTAAATATAGAAATTTTAATCATATTTTAGCGTTTGCAAGAGTGATTAAATTACTGGAAATTTATTTTGTTTAATTGTAGGCAAACGCCTAAAAGGAAACCAATGGCAAAGTTAGTGTACAATCTGATGTCAGAGAGGGAAATCAAGAAAAAGATGAAGGAAGTGGGACTCTCTACAACGGGAGATAAAAAAGTAAGTTTTAAAATAGTTAAAATCAGCAGCTGCCTTGGAAAAATGGAAGGAAGTTCTTGCATGTATTTTGACATTTATGAAACAAAAGCATACATTTGTACACAATGTTTTGATTTACATTACAGATACATGTATTTGCTACTCTTGTTGAGAGTTAAAACTTGCATTCTGCTTTACTACCCTGTAATAAGTAATTCGTCTGGTAGAGTTAATTTTCTGTTCTTATTTGCAGGCCTTGATCAGAAGACACCATGATTTTGTGATGCTGTATAATTCTGAGTGTGACTCATTAAAACCTCGATCAGGTAAAGGAAATATGAATATGTACATATATTACTAAAAGTCTTTTTATTCACAAGAACTTTATTTTAGCATAATTATGAGGGACAGTTTGCTCTAGAAAATTTCATTCTCATTTTCTCATTCTATTTTATTATTTTGTAAAGATTATATAAAACATTTAACAAAGTTCATGAAAGTTTTGTTTCGCTTATAAGTACCAAACACCTATCTTGCAAAAATAAGGTGTCATGAAAATTTGGTGATCTACAGTATTTTTATGACATAAGTTAAGCTTTGTTTTACCTGCTTAGTAACATTATAAACTGAAAACAAAAAGAGCACTGATTTAATTATTTTATTTTATTTTTTTTTTTTTTTTTCTTTTATTCAGATTTTACAAAGACATTTTGGGGTAAAGTCTCCTCAGAGACCCCCTTATAATCCGCACCATATGTGCCAACAGCTTTCTGGATTGGATAGCATAGATCTATATATACATTGATATTATTAATAATAATAGTATAATGACAATGAAAAAAAAAAGGATAAATTTCTAAACAAAAATAATATTAAAGTATTCCGTATTTTTTTCTTCCGTTTTATAATGTCAAAATTTATACAGTACAAATGATATCCGGTTGTAACTTTGAATATAAACATTGAGTTATCCTCGACTTTTTTTTTTTTTTTTTAAACAGTCAAATAATGCAAAAAGACTCGAGGTAAAATTAAAATCTACAGGTTATGTGTATAAAAATTTACTACTTATGAAATCCGTGTTATCACAGAGGTCCCATTTCACCTTCCAAAGTCCATATTGACCCCCACTTGTTAACATGCTTCTTTGGTCAGGCTACCCAAGAAGCATTGGATTTCATAAGTTGTTAGGTAATAATAACATGAAGGAAAAATGCTCTATTAACTATGAATTATATATGTCTTTCAACATTTATACACATTTCAGCTAGTTTGAAATTTTTATATGACATTTTTATAATATTATAGTACATCAATAAATTGCTCTTCACAAATTTTATCAAATTTTCAGTAATACATGGTTCACAATTTACACGACATTTCATTTTATATTTAAATATTTTTAGAGCTATATAAGAAATGAGTATGTTCAACATTTCAGATAGCTGAGTTTCTTCAAAAAAACCAATTACTATATTTTTCCAGCCAATATTGAACTTCAATGATTGACTTACTTTTTTCCATATATTCAAGGAATCATTACACTTATATAAAAGATGTTCTATATTTTCTATTTCACCACACTTGTGACAGAATCTATGCACATCAGTATTCCATTTACTAACATTCAGATTATTATTCAACAGTTTATGTAACAGTTTATAATTAAAATCAGCAATTTGTCTATCAAACATTTTGGTAATTTTCATATGAAAAATTTTTGGCCATATTGATCTAGGAATATCAAATAGATCAGTCCAGTATTTTACTGTTACAGGTTGGTGAAATTTCTTTGCTCTCAATATGTTGTAGAAAAAGGAGGATTTCTGACTCTCAAAATTACAATAAATATCTCCATAAAATAAAGCAAAATGATAGTTTTTAATGTTGACATGCTGAGCTTTTCTACATTCAAAAATCTTAGAGTATTTATTAAACACTGATTTCATTATGAAATATTCACAGAATATATTTCTTTTATCTAAGATTTTTTCTAAAAAGTATGAAATATCTTGTAATCTCCCATTTTTATCAAAAAGATCTCTTGTGTATAACACACCTGATTTTATCCAGTTTGATAGAAATATTGGCTTGTTTTTATACATGAATAATGTGTTCTTCCAAATAGGTAATGACAGGAATTCATCTGTGGATATTTTTTTCATATCTTTTTGTTTTTTGCATTTATTGAATGCACACAGTGCTTCTTTGTAGAAACAAGGAAGGAAATTTAATTCTTGATAATCTTTAATATCTTGCAAATTTGTTTTGAGTAAGTAGTCAAGAGTAAATTTTTCTTTACTAAGAATGTTTTGTATAAAAGACACTAAACTATTGTTAGATTTAAGAATTCTTGGAATCCAAGAGGCTTTTGCAGAGAGGAACTTTGTTTCAACATCAAAGATATTAATACCACCCTCCTCCTCTTTTCCTATAAGGGTATTCCTTTTTATCCTATCTTTAGCATTCCAAATAAAATTATAAATTGTTCTATTGATTTGTTTGAAATATTCCTCGGGAGGGTTAGGAAGAATACTAGCTATATACTGAAATTTTGATATGATAAGATTATTTACAATTTCTTTCTTACCAAAAATAGTCAACTTTCTTTTTTCCCATGCTTTAAAGGTATCAACAATTTTATTTATTTTTTCATTCCAATTTTTTTCTTCACAAAGGCATTTGTTGTGTCCTATATAGATTCCAAGTGTTTTAACTGGGTCATTTGTTGCTCTTATTCCATATACATTTTTACATGAGTCCTTTAAAGGTCCTAGGAGTATACATTCAGATTTATGTAAGTTAAGTTTAGGACCGGCAAAGATAGAGAAACTATGAATAATATCTATCACATGTTTTACAGACACCAAGTCTTTTAGAGGGTTCGTTGAATCATCAGCATGTTGTAACATCTTAATTTCACATTGATTATTGACTTGAAACCCTTTTACCTGTTCTGATTTATTTATTCTGATTGATAAGATTTCAGTAACTATTATAAATAACAATGCAGAGATGGGACATCCTTGTCTAATGCCTCTTGTCATTCTACAAGTTTTTGAAATAAAACCATTATTCTTTACTCTAAAAGTAGGATTATTGTATAGAATTGAAATCCATTTAATAAAATTTGGACCAAAATTGAATTCTTCTAATGTTTGTATCATAAATTCCCATTCAACAGTATCAAAAGCTTTTTCAAAATCTAAAAATAATAGTAATCCATTCTCATTTTGATTTTCACAATAGTCAAATATATCTTGAATTAGACGAGCATTATTCCCTATATATCGGCCTTTAATATATGCTGACTGGTCTTTATTTATCAATTTTGAAATAACACTTTGTAATCTTCTAGCCAAAACAAATGCAAGTATTTTATAATCACAGTTTGTTAGGCTTATGGGTCTGTAATTTTTTAAATTTCTTTTATCACCTTTTTTGTGTATCAGACTTATAACAGCTAATTTTTGAGATGATGGTAGTACACCATATTCAAAAGATTTTAACAGTGAATCATAAAAGTAATTTTTTATATCATTCCAAAATAATTTGTAGAATTCAATAGGTATGCCATCTAGACCTGGTGATTTATTGTTATCCATGCTTTTAATTGCCTCTTCACACTCTCTGAGGGTAGGTAATGCCTCACATATTTTTTGTTGTTCTGTGTTAAGTTTTGTTTTTAATTCAGTTCTTTTTAGATAATTACTTATGTCTTCAGTTTTGGGGTTTTGTGATGTATACAATTTTTCATAGAAATTACATAATTGTCCCAAGATATCATTACTACTGAAAAAGGTTTGGTTATCTTGATTAATTTTTTCAATAACATTAATTTGTTGATGTTTATTTTCTAGTTTTAAGAAGTAAGAGGAGCATTTCTCTCCACACTTAACCCAATTTGCTCTAGATCTAATGTATGCTCTTTCTAATTTTTTATCATATATCTGTTGTAATTCTTTTTCTAACTTATATTTTTCTTGATTAATAATTTCATTAAAAGGTCTATTTTCAATATTTGTAATTCTTTTTTCAATTTCTTTTACTCTTTGTTTAGTACTCTTACTTTTTGTTTTAGAGTAGGTTATAGAGTATTCTTTAACAATAAGTTTAACCATTTCCCATCTTTCTTGTGGACATTTTACATCTCTAAGCTCTAGTTCTTTATTTTTAGCTCTACTGGTCAGAGACCAGAAGAGCTTATGCGATAGTAAGGTGTCCGTCGTCCGTCCGTCTGTCTGTCTGTCTGTCTGTCTGTCTGTCTGTCCGTCTGTCTGTAAACAATTTTTCAAAACACTACTCATCCTACAGTTTTGGTCCGATTTCAATATAACTTGGCACACAAGTAGACTACACTAAGATACATAATTTAGTGCATCGGTTTTTGATTTCGATGAACGGTGTTGCCATGGTTACTAAAAATAGAAATTTCTGTGAAATTCCTTTAAAACTCTACTCCTCCTACAGTTTTGGTCCGATTTCAATATAACTTGGCACACAAGTAGACTACACTAAGATACATAATTTAGTGCATCGGTTTGTGATTTCGATGGACGGTGTTGCCATGGTTACTAAAAATAGAAATTTCTGTGAAATTTCTTTAAAACGCTACTCCTCCTACAGTTTTGGTCCGATTTCAGTATAACTTGGCACACAAGTAGACTACACTAAGATACATAATTTAGTGCATCGGTTTTTGATTTCGATGAACGGTGTTGCCATGGTTACTAAAAATAGAAATTTCTGTGAAATTCCTTTAAAACACTACTCCTGCTACAGTTTTAGTCTGCTTCTAATATAATTAGGCATACAAGAAGACTATACTAAGATACATGATTTATTGCATTGGTTTTTGAATTTGATGAACAGTGTTGCCATGGTTACTTAAAATAGAAATGTCTGTGAAATTCCTTCAAAACGTTACTCCTCCTACAATTTTGGTCTGATTTCAATCTAATTTGGCACACAGTTAGAATACACTACGATACATAATATGTATTTCTGTTTTTTTTTATTTGGGTGAATGGTGTTGTCATGGTTACCGGTACTAAAAATAGAAATTTCCGTGAAATACTTTCAAAACGCTACTACTCCTAGTTTTCATTTGATTTCAATATAACTTGTCACAAAAGTAGACTACATTAAGATACATAATTCTATTTATTGTTGCATGTTGCAATGTTTCAAATCCAAGTGCTACTTTTCTTTTGTTATACAAACAGACCAGTAGAGCTACAGTCTCATCAGAGACTTCTGGTTTAAAATGTCTTTTAGTTGTTTACAGAAGTCCTCATTTATTAGATATGAAGTATTCATTTTCCAATATCCACAACCTCTTTTGTTTTTCTGGAGAATAAAATCTATTTTTAGCCCTAGATGATCACTCATCCTATTGTTATTTACTCTGGGACATTTTCTTAAAGAAAAAGAATCTACAGATAATGAAAACCTTTCTGCAAATAAAATGTAGTCTATTCTGCTACTTGGAGTATTGTTTGCATTGCACCAAGTAAGACCAGGTTTATTTTCATGAATTTTTTTCCAACCATCTATTAATTTTAACTGTTTGATTAAAGAGTTTAATTGTGTTTTGCTTGTATCAGTAGTCTGATTATAGTTGTCTATATTGCAATTTAGATCTCCACATACAATCAGGTTTTCTATACTTTTAGCATTTTTTCTTAGCCAAGACTTTGTTGTGGTGTAAAAAGCCTTCCTATCAGATATATTATTTGGTGCATAAAGATTTGCTATTGAAAACGTAATATCATTAATTTTAAGATTTATCAAAATTTTTCTTCCATCAGAAGATCTGTGATAATTTATCAATTCATAAGAAAAATTTTTTCTAATCAAAATAGAAACACCCCTACTGAAAGCTGAGCTCGAAAAGCAGTGAAAACTTGAGCCCAGCCATCTGGCATTATATTGATACTCTCTTGATTCTATATAATGAGTTTCTTGTAATAAGAAAATATCTATATCTAAATCTTGAAGCCAATTGTATAAAACTATTCTTTTTTCGTATGTATTTAATCCCCTTGCATTTAAGGAGAAAACACTTAATAAAGGGTTAAGCATAATTGTAAGATTTGTTCATACCAAAAATTGCGTCAGTGGGAGAAAAAAGTTCATAATAGAAAATCAAACGGTAAAGGATATTAACCTTGCTCGCTAGTGTCCGTGTCATGACCACTTGTAGCGTTGATATTCTCTCGGGATCTCTTTGATGGTCCTTCCTTAAGCTGGCTAACGAAATCAGTGATTTCCTTCTGTGACGCCCGAGCAGCTTTGCGAGTAGGTTGCCTTGGGAGAGACCAGCTTCTTGGTTTGCGACGGTAGTTTTTTGCTATAACTTTGATTATAGTGCCAAGCATGTTTTTACCGGGCCAAGCTTCAGGATTTGTTTTTAGAGTAGCTGATATGTTGATACCAGTCCCCCAGAAATCGTCGTACGTGGCTTCCGCTATGATAGATTTTGGACCACATTTTTGTAGAGCTTCCTGAAAGGGTTTGATCTGAGAAGCTTTAGCATCTATAATGGTAGACATGACCTCGGTTTTCTCTTTTTCCCATGATTCGTTTTTAGAGATGCAGTCTCCGATGCGCTTTGCGTCTAATGCAGTCGTCGCTGAGCGAATTTTTTCGGCAGCCACAAGATCGCCATTACGAATCGCTTTGGTAATTTGAAAAGCGTGTTCTGCTGACCTGTGATTTTCTCCGAAAACTTTGAATTCACTCATATGGAAATTTGATAGGATGTTTTTGAAGCCCTGAAAAGCGACCACATTTTCTTGCTCTTGATAAAATTTGCACTGAGTTTCCCCGGGTGTCATGAAAATTTGGTGATCTACAGTATTTTTATGACATAAGTTAAGCTTTGTTTTACCTGCTTAGTAACATTATAAACTGAAAACAAAAAGAGCACTGACTTAATTATTTTATAGCAGTAATCAAATAAAGTAGGGATATATATTAAAAATTAGTTTGCATTAATTTGCTTCTTGCAGTGGTGGAAGGTCTGTAAATGTTATCTTGATCACCAAATACATTTGAACTTCGGTATCTCAAAAAATGGATATCTTGAAAACCATGGATATGGATGTCCTAACCACGTATTTCTTAAATATTTTACCCTCAATATCTCAAACCCTCGGATATCTCTAAGTTTTTTTTCGGTCCCATCGAGTTCCAGATAAGGATGTTTGACTGTACTTAAAATGAAATATTTCTTTGTGTTTTATATATAGTTCAAGATATTGTGAAGGAGGTGGAGAAGATGGAAGACATCAGAATCAGAAATAGAAGGGACAATAATGTAAGGATACATAAATGTCATGATTATTTCTGTTTGTATTGTCATTAGTTCATAATGATGATCAATATTTTGTGGCAGTGCAGTGTCTGTACTGTTATAACAACTGGTTTTAAATGCTTTAGATATTTTATGTAATTACTTTTTTGTGCTCAGTAGTACAATTTAATTTTTTTTGTTCTAGAGACTTGGCATAGAGAAAAACAGCTCACCTGCCTCCATAGAGAAAGCTCAGAAGGTTTACTGTGAGTTGTAGCAATACTTTGAAAAGAAGATCGAGTAGAAGATAAGAACTTGTGAACAGTGTGATTTATTTAGATGTTACATACTAACATATTTAATTGATGTTTTCTTCTTGTTCTTTTTGTATGATTTTTTATGTATGTCATTTTTGAAGTCTGAGAGAAATAGTATGTCATAAATGCATCTTTTATATTTCAACTTCAGTGAAAAAGCACAAGTCACATTTCTCAAACTTGATAGAAGAGACCAGACGAAGAATGAGGGAACAGAAAGCTGAAAGGAAGAAGTCATCAGATGTAAAAGAAAAGAATGAAGAAAGTCAAGCATCTGACTCGGAGCTTGGTGGAACGGGGACAGAGTGTACCCAAAGTGAATCTGAGGGAGACTCAAGGACATCTGAAGGTGACTCAAGAAGGACTTCTAGTAGGAACGGGAGAAACAAAGAGACAGGAACGAGAAGAGGAACTGATGTAAGGATAGCAGAAATTGACATGGATTATGATGTTAAAGTAGTCTCGTCACAAAGTGAAAGTGAAAGTAAAGTTCAGAGAAGATCAACAAGAAACAAGGAAAGAACTAAAAAGGGTGAAGTTCATCAGCTGGAGACATCAGCATTAGAAGCATGTGATGTGGAAGTAGTTTCTTTGGAAAGTGATTCTGAAAGTGAAAATGCTAGACCATTGCAAATGGAACATAAAAGGACACGAAGCAGAAATACTCATGGAAAAACTTCAGAAGGTGGCACAGAACAAGTATTGACAGATACTATAATTGATGATGAAAGTGGACGTAGGAAATCGCTTAGGACCAGGAAGAAAGCAGATGCTGACAAAGCACCCTGTAATTCTAGAACTCATGTTTCCCAAAATCAGAGAATTCATGATCGAGGAGCTACAGCCAGAATTAAAAGCAGAAATAAGCCTGTTGTTGGAAAGAAGACAGGTGATTCTGTCTGTGAGGTGATAAATGTGGATAAAGCTCACAGGAATAGAGATGGTTTCAATAAATATGATGGACAGAGTATTCAAAGGAGAATTAAAAGAAACTACAGTAAATTTCTTTCACATTCTGAATCATCAAAGAGCAAGAAAACTTATCATGAAGGTGAAGTGGAAGAAATTTCTGACACAAGTGATGTGGAAATGGGCATGGATGAGCCATTGGAAGAGCTGAACATTGAAGAAAGTCAGAGAAAAGATTCAACTGCTGTATTTGAACATGAAGGTACTTCGGGAAATGTTTTAGGTGTTGAGAAAAGAAATACAGAGGTAATAAAATGCAAGACTACATCATCATCACCAAGCAGTTCAACAATAGAAGTGGATAACAGTGAAGATAAATTTGTTTGTGTTGCATCTGTACACAGAAACAAACCCAGTGCAGATTTGATCATAAATGTGCCTGTTGACTTGGAGAAAATAGATTGGGCAGAGGAAGGAGAGGATGATCGGAAAAGAGAGAAGATACAGAGACAGTTTCTTGGAAGCCCTATAAGGATCCCAGAGATTAACAGAACTTGTAGCTCAGCACAGGAAGATGGGGAAATTCTCTCATGTGATGACAATATGGATGAGAATCATGATGAAAAAGATGGAAAGAAACAGAAGAGTAACCCTAAGAAGAGTATTGCAAAGAAGGTCAGAAAGAATTCTTCTGAGGCATTAATTGGACATTCCTATGATGTGGACCACAATGAAAGGGATGTAGCAGATCTGAGGACTCTTAAGACTCCTGATGGAAAGTCGGAATCTTTACTTTCAGAAGAGCATTGCTGTCAAGAGAAGGAAAAATTGAGAGATGACCAAGATGAGGGTATATATATAGTTTTACAATTTGCTTGTAGCTGATGTTTCATATAATATCAGTGTGTAAAATTGTAATTGATGGCTTAACATGTGTTACGGTTTTCTTTCCTTAACAGTTTAAGTAATATAGTTGACACTGTGCAGATTATAAAATAAGTTACATTAAAAAAAAAATCTCTCTTTAGAGGAAGGTGTACAAGTGGATGAAACTCCAGTGAAGGATTATGATGTGGAGAATTTTTCCACCCTGTGGCCAGCATTAAGTGGAGGAGCGGATGTGTCCAGGGCCAGAGCTCGCCATTTTTCCTCTATGTCAACCCAGAGCAATAAATCTAACTGTAGTGATCTGTCAGCTGTCTCCTCCCCCATCAAAATTGAAGAGGTTGGCTAGTCTTCATATTTACAAAGCTACAGTTCTTGTTTAATTAGGCCATCTTTAATCTTTAAAAAACTGTTTTTTTGGGCCCTTTTTTGACTCATGATAAAAAATTGGGTTGGTAGGTAGGTAGTAAAATTTTTCTTCCTTTTGAAAAATTCAACATCACTGCTGAATTTTCTAAATTTGTTGAAATTTAAGGTGTTTATAGAATTAAAATTCTTGTCCACAGGATGAGAAAATTCTGGAATGAATTAAAAAAAAAATGAATCGTTTTGAGTCAGGTCATTTTTAGTCAGTCGGTCTGGAGAGAGAGCAAACAAAACATAATGATGGCCTTATCTCTCAGAGGATTCTGCTGAGATTCCTAGTCTCCAATACTTTAAGAGACAATAAAGATATTGAAATACATGTTTTAATACTTTTCATTTTATGTTCTTTAGGACATTCAAGAAGAAAGAAGCACCTCCAGATCATCAAGTAGAAGGTAAGAAAGAGTACACTTAGTTCCTGGTAGATTTCTACATTCAGTATGTCTCACGATCTGATCATTATGGTTGCTTATAAACCATAGAAATATTGCTTTAGTGGCTGATTGCAGTGGCAGGTGTAGAGAAGTGAGAAGGGGGACTCAGAGAGCTGCATTTGCCCAGCTTTACGTTAATATGATTTGATCAATAAGCATGGCAATAGGCATGGCTTAAAAAAAAATTATGTGTGGGGCGGGAAAGAGAGAGACAGAGAGAGAGAGAGAGAAAAATAGGCGGGGCTTGGAGCACATGAATTTTCTTGAATCAAGAGCATGTAAATATAGGGAATAACTGTCAGATTTTTTTATTTTAAGATGATGATCAAGCAATTAGCTTGCAGTTTGGCATTTATGCAAATTATTATGCAAGCCAATTGCTTGATCATATCATAAAACCAAAAAATTAGGCAGTTATTCCTTATTGAGAAGGCTGGGACCTGATAACTTGCTTTGACACACTGAAAGTATTCCACGTCAGTTGGAGTATAAAGATTGCTATATCATTATGGTGGGTACTGCACTGTATACATGTTCTTATGTAGGTATGCTTTTCTGTTCTGTAGGGAGATTTTGGGAGACTTTGAGAACAGAAAGAGGAAAAGACTAAGTGAACCAGCATCCAGAAAACGTAGACGAAGATGATAATCGCATGAAGTAAATATCATGTCAAGACTTTTCCATAATGTCCAAGATGTAAAGAAGTGATGTTAATATTTAAAAGTGAATTAATTGCATGCAATGTGATGGTTTCCGTTGTACAAATTTTTATATTGAATAGTCACAAGATGTGATGCATGAAAGTGAGTTTAATTTAACACCTGAGAAGGATGACTTCATATTAATCCTATGTTTGTGCTGAACAACAAAAAATTTGCATCTGTGTTATCAGGAACTGGTCAAATTATTTAACAAAGATGACTTCATATTTACACTGTATTTGTACATACATGTATATATTTGTCTTAATTATTAAAGCTGAAATACAATATAAAATTATTGATAGAATTGTTTTCTTTTTCATTTCGTATAAAAAATACAGCTTCTTTAATAAGTTACTCTGAATTCCCAATTTGAAAGCGACAAAATTATGTCAAGCTAAGAACAAAGTAGAAAAAGACCCCTCCCCCTTTTGTTTTTAAATTTATCTATACAGACTATACTGGTGAAACATCAAAGACCAGAACTTATGCAATGTGTTTGTTGCCTGTTCACCTATCTGTTAAGCCACTGTCTGTAAACAAACATTTTTTATTGTCGTTGCTCCTCTTACAGCTTGTGTCCAATTTCTATAAAACTTAGTACATAGACTACACTTTTGTAGGCATTTTTAGGTCACCTGTGTCACTCAGGTAACTTCTTGCTATCTGTTTTGTGCATCATCCATTAACATTTCGAACATTTTTAGCTTCTTCTCTGGAACCAATGTACCAATTTCAAGTAACTTTGGCATATACATGTAGCATCTATGTAGAAAAGGGAACAAAAATTGTGAATTTCATGGTCCCCCCAGGGTGGGGTTAAAACCATCAAACTTATTAACATCTTTAAAAATCTTCTTTACTCCTAGACACCAAGCAGTCAAACTGTTGGTATGATTGTAATAAACATTGAGTCCTCTACCAGAATTGTGAAATTCATGGCCCCTGGGTAAGGGGTTCTGGAGTAAGGACAGGTGTATAATTGATCATATAGTGCAAGTGCATAAATTCCTTAAAAGCTTCTCTCCTCCTGTAGACAAACTAAGTGCATGGATATGATGAGCAAGAACTGTGAAATTCATGCCCCCTAAGTCAGGGGTTCTGGTGCTAAAGAGGGCTCTATTGGTTACCGAGTATATAGTGAAAATGCATAAATGCCTTGAAAATCTTTCTCTCTGCCCTTGGCTATTTTATAGATAAACTAAACATGGTTATGAGCAAAGGTGCCTCTTCCAAAATTGTGAAAATCGTGTCTCCTGCATAAGTGATTCTCTTCTTAGGGTGGAGCTCTGTTGATTTTATATTAAAAATGCATTAATTCTCGGAAAATCTTCTGTTCTTTGAATCAAGCCACATGCACTTTACATTTTGAATATTTCTCTGTATTGATAAAAAAACATACTGTAATAATAACTTTTATTTTCCAATGAAGAGAAATATTTAAAATGTCAAGTGCCTGTGTATCAAGCAAATAAACTAAGTAAATGGTTAAGATGAGTAAGGGTGGTCATGATTGTGAAATTCATAGCCCCTAGGTCATGGGTTCTGATGTTACGACGGGGCTCTATTGATTATGTAGTTGTTTGAAAATCATCTCTGCTTCTAGGCATCTAGGAGGAAAACAAAGTACAAAATTGCAATGAGAAAGGGTGGCAAAGGCAAGGGAAATTCTTGACCACTGGTTCAATGGTTCTCAAGTTATGTTTGGCAGGGCCCTATTGATCATGTTGGGAATTCTGTACTTGACTCTGAAGGAAGTTATTCCTCTTTGTTATTCACCTATGACAATTAATCACTGTTAATGATGTAACTAATAGGTCAATTGAATAAAAGAATTCAAGAAATTTAATGTAAAATACAAAAAGTACTTTTATAGTTTGTCAGGTAGACTTGTAAGTAATAAGTAAATAAAAATGAGACAAAATACCATATATTCATACATTAAATGTTACTCAAAGACTAAGTAAGGCCAATGTGTGGGGGGATTGTGCTGTTTTGAGTATACTTTTTTTATGTGCTCAAGCACTGTTGTGTTGTTTAGTCTGGTGATGGTGACAAAGGGGAGTGTAATAGCACTGGCAAGTATATAGATCTAAATGAATTGTTGCTAAGTACTAGACCATTTTGTTGATCCCTGATTGTCCTTTTTCTCTTGTTTTGGGGCAACTTGTCTTCATCTATCGGTTTTATTTTGTTTTATTATAATTCATCATGTATATTTCTGTGGATCATTTACAGGGTTGTATTATACTCAGGTGACCGTTAAGGCCCTTGAGCCTCTTGTTTTAAAATTAGTGTATAATTGATTCTGATGACTGGAAATAAAATAGTGCGTGAAATTCTTACAAAACGTAAATACATGTAATAATTGGTGCACTCATATATACTAATTCAAGGTTTACAGTCGCGTGCTTCAATTTTACATCTTGAAGAACAATCTTTCAATGGTTATTTAAAATGGTAGAATGTGTAAAATTCTTTAAAAATCCTACTACTCCTACAGTTATTACTTCAATTTCTATAAAACTATAAAAAGTGAAAAACCCAAGTAAAATTTTTCAAGGCTCTTAATTCTGTACATGTTTTTAAAGAAGATGGGCGAACAAGGCGAGCAAAATGCCTATAGTGCGACAAACATGAAAGTGAAAAAATTAAATCTCAATTATAACAAAGTTTTCTTTGATATTTCATCTAACATTAAAGTATAACGTAAAATCTCCACAATTTGCAAAAATCTCACAAAGATTGAAATTATTTGCCTATGAAATAGCATACACACACACTCACGAATACCACATAATTTTTAGCTCACCTGAGCTGAAAGCTCAGTTGAGCTTTTCTGATCACCCGCTGTTCGTCGTCCGTCTGTAAATTTTTCACATTTTCAACTTCTTCTCAAGAACCACTGGGCCAATTTTATCCAAGCTTGGTACAAAGTATCATTGGGCAAAGGGGAGTTTAAATTGCCACAATAGGGAATCCAAGTTTTACATTGAAATTTGTAAGAAAAATCTTTAAAAATCTTCTCAAGAACAACTGGGCCAGAAAAACTGAAACTTATGTGGAAGCATTCTCAAGTAGTGTAGATTCTAAATTGTTCAAATCATGACCCCCGGGGGTAGGGCGGAGCCACAATAGGGAATCCAGGTTTTACATTGAAATATATAGGAAATTTTTAAAAAAATCTCCTCCTCAAGAACCACTGGACCAGAAAAGCTGAAATTTATGTGGAAGCATCCTGGGTAGTGTAGATTCTAAATTGTTCAAATCATGACCCCCGTGGGTAGGGCGAGGCCACAATAGGGAATTCAAGTTTTACATTGAAATATATAGGAAATTTTTAAAAAAAAATCTCCTCCTCAAGAACCACTGGACCAGAAAAGCTGAAACTTATGTGGAAGCAACCTGGGGTAGTGTAGAATGTAAATTGTTCAAATCATGACCCCGGGGGTAGGGTGGGGCCACAATAGGTATTACAAGGGGGGAAATCTGGTAAAGAACAGCAAGGCCAAAGTTACTCAGGTGAGCGATGTGGCCCATGGGCCTCTTGTTTTTAATAACAGAATATACCGTCACGGTAGCTTAGTCGGTAGAGCGCTCGCTCCGTGATCGGAAGGTCGTGTGTTCGAATAATGGCCGCGACTGACCTAAGTCGATAAAAAAATAGGTAGCAACTGTTCCTTCACCAAGCCCTCGGCGCTTTGAAGTGAAAGATGCGGGTCTTTCGGATGAGACCTTAAAAACCGAGGCCCTGTGTCACGGTAGGCGTTGGCATGATATAGAACCCTCACTGCTCAATGGCCCTGAGTGCCGAGTAAAGGTCAAAATTTGAAGCCCTTCACCAGTATATGGTGACGTCTCTTTATGAGTGAAAAATTCTCGAATGGGACGTTAAACAACATACAAACAATCAATCAATCATTAATAAAAAAAATTTTGTCGAGAAAATTTTCCCTCAGGAAAATTTTGTTCATCATAATTTCATATATTTCAATAATAAGAACTTCACTCTAGATACTAAATTCACAAATTGAATATATTTATATATCTGAAGATATAGGCATTCTGCTCGCCTTGTTCACCCATCTCCTTTGTTGCCATTGCTAGTAATGGAAGAATTGTGATTCAGAAGTTCTTCCAAAATGCCACCCCTCCTACAGTTTAGGAAAACTTTAGAAAGCATCAAGATACATAACTCTGTAGAGAGTAAAAAAAAAAAAAGAGACCTATGGGCCACAGCGCTCACCTGAGTAACTTTGGCCTTGCTGTTTTTCACCTGACCCCCCCCCCCTTTGTAGTACTAATTGTGGCACCGCCCTACACCCAGCGGTCATGATTTAACAATTAGAATATACACTACCCCCGGAATGCTTCCACATAGTTTCAGCTTTTCTGGCCCTGTGGTTCTTGAGAAGATTTTTAAAGATTTTTTCTACACATTTCTATGTAAGACTTGGATTCCCTATTGTGGCCCCGCCCTACCCCCGGGGGTCATGATTTGAACAATTTAGAATTTACACTACCCAGAATGCTTCCACATAAGTTTCAACTTTTCTGGACCAGTGGTTCTTGAGAAGAAGATTTTTAATGACCCAACCCAATTTTTATCTTTTCTTGATTATCTCCCCTTTGAAGGGGGCTTGGCCCTTCATTTTAAAAATTTAAACTCCCCTTTACCCAAGGATGCTTTGTACCAAGTTAGGTTAAAATTGGCCAAGTGGATTTGATCTCTTTAGTGTGCATTGATTATAGAGCTTCCTTAAAAAGAGCATTGATAAAGCCTCGAGAAAACAGAAATTTGAGAGCTTCGGGGAATAACCTGAGTAAAACCTCAGGGAAATGATGAACACTTCACTTCGTGGGTATGGGGAATGTGGTAGTTGAAGATGGATAGCATCTACACGTGTCGGTGATATTGCGTAACAGAATTTTTGTATGGTTGTTATGTAACTAGATTTAATCTTCTATAGACAATCTAGGTTGTTAAGAGACAGAAAGGTAAATAATCGCACGTGAAGGAAAGCCATCCCTGATATATTATTGCTTTTTTGTTGACATTATAAGATTAAATTTCTTTAGAATGTTGATTAAAAGTGAAAAACGAGGGGCTTGTTCAAATGAATTAATTCTGCTCAAGTTTACATTCAGTAAACACAAATATTCAGTTATACCAACATAGTGTTGAAAGATCACCCGTTGTTTGTGTAGATGGTTGGTGAGAAGAAAGGGGCCATGCGGGGGGTGGGGCGGGGAGGCATTGATTCGAATTGGTCA